CTTTTCTTGCTTTTCTTCTGGTTTGTTCCATACATTCCCTTCCCTTTTATTGCTACTCCAAAATGACCTATTTAATGAAGACATTTTGTTTCAAGCTTTCTAAATTTTCTAGAGACAAAAAGTAGGGATTTGACATTATTTTTTAGAGCTTTCTAATCTATTTATTAGATTTTAGTTCAAATCATCGTTTTTCCTTTGTACTCAATTTATAGTACCTTGTAGGTGGGAATTTGGATTGTGCGTACATTCTTATCCGTATTTTCAGTATGTAATTTCACATATGTGCAAATATACTTGGCAGCATTCTGAAATTGCTGGGTTAAATAGTCTACACTCATGCCTCAGTATCTTTGGGGGATGGGTTCAAGGTCATGGCACCTCCCCCAACTCCAAAGTGGCTTAAGTCTGTTACAAAAAATGCGCACATGTCTTTGTTTATACTTTATACTCTAAATCCTCTATGAGTTATGTATAATAATTTGATGTAAGTATTGTTTACTGTATGTTATATATAATAATTTAATGTAAGTATTATGTAAGTATAGTTGTACTGTGTTTTATTTAAGATTTATTTGAAAATCAGTTATTCTGATGGGATTTTAACTGGGCTAATGTAATATAAGGGCTAATTTAAGAAGAAATAAAATTAGTTATTGAGTCCATTTATTTAGGAACATATATTTCTTTCCATTGGTTTAAAAAATATATATATTTTTTGGTGCCCCTTAGTAACATACTTGAAAGTGTTTTATGCCTTCCAGTAAGGAACCTGAAATTTTCTTTGGCAGTGGATATTTGCACAGAAGTTAAAATATTGCTTAGAATGTCCATCTTCTGAGCAGCATTTGATGGCTCACGGAGCCTTGGTCTCTACCTGACGCAGGAGGCCCAGGTTGAGCTGGGGCTCCTGATTCTCGTTTGGCCCAGCCCTGGCTCTGGTGAGCAGTTGGGGAGCGCACACTGAGTGGGAGAGCTCCGTGTCTGTCTCAGTCACTGCTGGAAGAACTTCCTCACTGTCTGCCCCTCCGTGTCGCTGTGCATTTTAAATAAATAAATAAGTGATTAAAAAAATACAAATTTAATAGAAATGTTTGTGTAACTTGTTAAACATTTTAGTCATTACTTTTTGTTACTGTGAATGAGATTTTCTTTTATTATATATTCTAAGACTTGGTTATTTTTATAGAAACCATGGGTTTTTGGTTTAATTTTATCTACTTTACTAATATGCCGCTATTTTCATAAAGCTTATAAGCTATTTTCATAATTTTTTTATTATCCATTAATATCATTTGCAAAGAATATGTTCTTGTTCTGTTTCTGTGCTTATTTCTTTTTTAATTAATTTCCCTGGTCCTCACCTGCAAAACAGTGTTAATACTTGTGAAAATACACATCCTTGGTTTTCTCTGACTTCGTACTGTATGTCCAGGGTCCCTGTTGCAGGTGATGCTGGCTTTGGAATTGAGATTATTTATGTCTTTTTTTAAGGAGGATATAGTGTTTGTTTTAAAATGTAAAAAAAAATAATAAATAAATAAGAGACCATACAACCTTAAGTGTTAAACCAGCAGAAAAGTTCCTGGGACGTTAGAATGAAAGTATTTATCTTGAAACATTTGGATTGGTTGCTAGGCAACCTGATTTCCAATCATTAAATATTTAGTATTTACTTCCTAAAAACAAGTTCTGTCCTATGTAACCACAGATAGAAATCAAAATCAGAAAATTAATAGGGTGCATCGAGCTGTTTACACATTCCTTCCTGTCTGGCCAGTGGTCCCAGTAATGTGTTCCCGCAGCTCAGTATGGTTTGGATTTGTGCATCGCGTTTGGTGTTTTTCATATGGATTTTAGCTTCCTTACTCTGGAATAGGCTTTTCTTCACTTTAATGAACAAATGCTTTTCAAGATTATATCAAAGTTAACATCAAATATTTCTCAATTTGAATTTAGCTCGAGTTTCCTTACAGTTTATATCAGGCGGGGGGTTTCACTCAGGTGATGGTGATCACGAAGGAGTATCGTGGAGTGTCATTTTTATTTGCCTTTTCCAGTTATCCTATTGTCTTTGTATTCATTCTCTGTAACAGCCTGGGTCTTCATATTTTAAAAAGTTTTTTTTTTTTTTAAGATTTATTTTATTTTTATTGGAAAGGCAGATATACAGAGAGGAGAGACAGAGAGGAAGATCTTCCATCCGATGATTCACTCCCCAAGTGAGCACAACGGCCGAAGCCGATCCAAAGCCAGGAGCCTCTTCCGGGTCTCCCACGCGGGTGCAGGTTCCCAAAGCTTTGGGCCGTCCTCGACTGCTTTCCCGGGCCACAAGCAGGGAGCTGGAAGGGAAGCGGGCTGCCGGGATTAGAACCGGCACCCATATGGGATCCCGGGCGTGCAAGGCGAGGACCTTAACCACTGCGCCACCGCTCCAGGCCCTTTAAAAAGTTTTAATACACTAATAATTATAATCCAAACCTTTATCCATTACTAAAAATAAAGGCATTATGTGGATTGATCGGAGGATAGAGAAGTGTTTAGAGCTGGAGTCAAGCCACAATAAAAGTGGCATAAATAGGTATTAAATAACTACATTTAATGTATTATAAATATACATTATATATTAAGTTTAGAATATATTATATCATAATATATGATACATATTAAATTGTATGTGATATAAATATCATATAAGTAGATATTATATTTAATATTTCACAATTATTCAGGAGCAATGATGGAGGTGGAGGCAGAAATACAAAAGTACCCAAAGCAGGCCCAATGCTGTAGCCTAGTGGCTAAAGTCCTAGTCTTGCACGCACCAAGATCCCAGATGGTCGCTGGTTCTAATCCGAGCAGCTCCACTTCCCATCCAGCTCCCTGCTTGTGGCCTGGGGAGCAGTCAAGGACGGCCCAAAGCTTTGGAACCCTGCTTTTGGTTCTTGGCTTTGGATTGGCTCAACTCCAGCCGTTGCAGCCATTTGGGGAATGACTGTGTCTTCCTCTCTGTATACTTTCCAATAAAAATAAATGTTTTTTTTTTTTTTAAAGTAGCCAAAGGATATACAGAAGACAGGATTGATGATTGGAATAATTATTACTTGATCATGTGTATCATTGATTACATTACTTTCTCAAAGCATTGTTTGGTTAAACAAGTTGCACTATAGTTTCTTTCAGAAAAAAATTTTCTTTCTGTTTCTTTGTTTTCAATTCTAGAGACATGGGAGGAGAGAGAGAAGGAGAGGGCTTCTGTCTGTTGACTGACTCCTTAAATAGTCGTCACAGCCGAGCCTGAGCTGGGAGCCATGACTTCAGCCGAGAAGCTTGCTTTGGGGGGAGTGTTTAGGCTCGCCCTTTTGATGGTTGGCTCGCCTTGGAGTGCCAGGCTTGGCTCACGTCCCCTCCGACTCCCAGCTTCTGCTCATGCAGACCCTCGGAGGCAGTCAGGATTGCTCATGCTATTGAATTCCTACCGCCTCTGTCCTCTCAGCCTTGTTCTTTTTTTTTTTTAATTTTTGTTTAAATTTTACTTTTTATAATAATTATATGGTTGATCAGGTTGGGAAGGATCGAGGTTTAGGGAAATTTGGATGAATGCAGTGTCTCCAATTTTGCCATTTCTTCTTGTTTCTTCTGGGGGAGGGAAGAGACAAATGGGGAAGCCACAGACAACTTCCACACGGCCCAGCGCCCAGGGACGAGGAACTCCCACCTCATATCAACCCGGAGTCTCAACGTGTGCATATTCTGAGGGTTCTGCCCACATGGTTTGGGTAGTTCTGAAATGCTGCCGATTTCACTGATCCAGTGATGATGTCACCCTCCCGATGTCCGCTGACTCACGTAGTAAGCCTCGAGTCTCCATTCACAGAGATTTGTATTTATTTCTTTATTTTTTATGGGAAAGTTAGATATACAGAGAGGAGAGACAGAGAAGATCTTCCATCTGTTGATTCACTAAGGGGCTGCAATGGCTGGAGCTGTGCGGATCTGAGCCTCTTGGGTACAGGGTCCCAAGGCTTTGGGCCCTGCTCAGCTGCTTTCCCCGGGGAGCTAGATGGGAAGTAGGGCTGCCGGGATTAGAACCGGCGCCCATACAGGATCCCAGCACATGCGTGCAAGGCAAGGTTCTTAGTTGCTAGGCTATCGCGCCGGGCCACTAGCTTTGCTCTTGTACAATCCTAGTACAATCCTAGTCATCAAGAGTGTTTGGGAAGTACCCAGTAGATGGAGGGCAGCATGCTGGCTTACTGTTCCTCTGTCCAGTCTCCCCTCCCCTCTTCCCTCCCTCCATTTCTGTCTCTTACTCTCAAACAAATAAATAATTTTAAAAGGAAGTTTGAGGTACATTCCTTGTGGCATGGGAATTTAACAGAGTCTGTGATTTAATAGAGTCTCATTCAAATTCAGTAAGATTGTTTAGTGGGTCACTCAGCCTTATTTGAATGTTCCCCACAATTTCTTGTGGATTTGGTAAGATCGTCCCTAACTGTAAAATGCTTGCTTATTGAACAGTATTGTTAACTGTGTTAGTATGTTGCTATATTAAAAATGGGCTGGGTGACATTAAAGATAGTGAGGCTGGAAAATGATCTTTGAGGATCCTTAGAGGTTCTGACTTAGAGCGTTCTGCCCAAGTTACCGTAAGGAGCCAATGTGTACATTGTAGTTTGAACTTCTTAAGGGAAAGATACTTAAATTCTAAATCTCTTATTGGTAATTTGGGAATATAGCTTTGTACCAACTCCTCTGTTTTACTGAAAATGGAAGGTGTATATATTTTGTTTCAAATGTTTTGTTAATTTTTAGGGGAGCGGGATCAAAGGCAAGAATGGATACAAAAACCTTGCCTGATTTTCCTTTCTCTTACCTTTTCATCGTTTTCTCCTGCATATTACATTGCCTACAAGGGAGTGGGGCGAAGGGTGGGGCTTCAGAAGAGGGAGCTGTTTTGTTGTGTGGTCTAGACTGAATTTTGCTTTTCTCTCCCCTACTAGGCCCAGATTGCCTTTCTTCAGGGAGAAAGGAAAGGCCAAGAAAATCTGAAGAAAGACCTGGTGAGGAGGATCAAAATGCTGGAGTACGCACTGAAGCAGGAGAGGTAATGCAGTGACACGTGGGAGAGCATCCTTTATAAAGATCAGAACGATTTCTCATCGTTACAAAAAAAAGCCTTGTGGGTTCTTTCCTCAGCTTAGTATAAAAAGTAAAAAGCTGGGATTTGGTTGCAGACAGAGGAGTTTTATTTGGGAAGTGACCAAGTGAAAGTAGAAAGAGGGACGGGAAAAGCACCTCCCGGGAGAAACCAGGGGAGATGGGGTGCCTCTCGAAAGCAGAGGGAGGGACAGGACAGGTGTGAGGCAGTGTTCCTGGCTTCTCTCCTTCTGGGCGGAAACTTGCGGGGAAGACGTTCCCCCTTGGTAGGCCCTGAACCAGTTAGCATATGGCTGGGCAGTTCCTGTGCCACCCGCATAAGGTGTGGCCAACATTTTGGCAAGCATGGGTGGTCTGTCATTTTGAAGTGAATCTCAAATTCCAGTACTGTGTGCTTCTGAGTTGAATGTATCTGTGACAGACAAATTTGTGAGGAATTGTAATACGTTTACCTTGTTATCAATAATGTAGTAATAGTGATCCATAAACTGACTTACATGATTTTTTTAAAGTTTAGCACATTTTCTCCTTTCTTGAGAAACTTAAATACTTCTTGAACTGTTGATAGCCATTTTATTTGAATTGACAGAGTTTTTGAATTGTAAAAAAAGTTTTCTGTAATACTTGTTCCCTTTTCCTGTCAACTGTTGTTACTCAACGTGATATATTTTGTTTAGTTATAAAGTTACTCTGCTACATTGAGTTGAGAATCTTCTTAAAGACTTTCCCAGGGTAGTTTGTTCTTTGCTGTCAGCCGCTACCTATCCCTTCAGGTGTAATCTGACCTTTGTGCTTTGCTAGTCTCCAAGAAACTCAAGATTTGGGTCACAAGTAAGGAAGATAAGTCATGGATGTGAGTTTTTGAACTTATCTGTATTAAGAAATATTCTTTTTTGTAAAAAATTTAATCAATCAATTAATTATATTGGAAAGTCAGATATTCAGAGAGGAGGAGAGACATTCACTCCCCAGGTGGCCACAACAGCTGAAACTGAGTCAGTCCAAAGCCAGGAGACAGGAGCTTCTTCCAGGTCTCCCATGTGGGTGCAGGGTCCTAAGTCTTAGGGTCATCCTCGACTGCTCCCCAGGCCACAAACAGGGAGCTGGATGGGAAGTGGAGCTGCCGGGATTAGAACCAGCACCCATATGGGATGCTGGTGCGTTCGAGGTGAAGACTTGAGCCGCTAGGCCACGCTGCCGGATCCCAACTCTTCTGCTTTTCAGTTACCTCCGTCTTTTTGTTCTTATTTTATTTCTTCTTGGAAATTGTTAAAGGGACTGTTTAAAAATTAAACAGCATTTTGCTGATGCTATTATGATAGAACTTTATTAGAACTGTCTTCACCTTTGTTTGTGGTTTTGTTGTTGTTGTTATGAGACAGAGAAAGAGAAGTGGGGGGAGTGAGAAAGCAAGAATGACTCCAGTTGTTGGTCATTCTCCCAAGGCAGAAAGGCTGGGATTGGGCCAGGCCTGAACTTAGAGCCGAGAACTTAGTCCGGGGCTCCCATGTGGGTGGCAGGACCCCAGGAATGCTCATCACTGCTGTCTTCCAGAATCTGCATTAATAGGATGCTGGAGTCAGGAACCAGGGCCAGAAATTGAACTCTCGTACTGCGGTGTGGAATTTTGACTCCTCACTAGCATTTTAACAAATGGCACTGAATGTTTGCCCCTGCATGGGATCTTGAGGTGGCACAAGTGGTTGTAAAAACAGGCATTTCCTTTCAGATGTCAAGAGATTGATTGAAAAGCTGTATTAGAGAGATGGGAAAAAAAGGCATTAAAAGCGCATGGTCTGGTGATATTTGATATTTTAAACTGCTTATTTGTAAGTTTAACCAAAGAGAGAATAATGACAAATTGGCAGCTATTTATTGAAGTGTGTCAGGCCTAGCAGACAAAGTAATGTGTAAAGAAAATCAGAGCTAAGGTTGAGTGCATTTTGCTATCTTTTTACATAGGGAAATTGTGATGCACGAGTACTAAAGCAGCCAGGGCTGTGTGTGTGTCTGTGTCCAGAGTTGTTGGCCACAAAAGCACAGTGCAGTATGATAGGTGCTGTAGCAGAAGTCCCTTCAGGGCGCAGTGGGGTCACAGAGAGAATAGTTCTTACCATCCAAAAGATGGAAGTAGGAAGGAGGGCAGAGTTAAAGGCCGTGAGGCTGGAACAGCGTCATAAAAGGAAAGTGCTTGCCAGCCAGGCATGGTACAGGAACTAGATAGAGAAAGCATGCTGGATATGAAACAAAGCAATTGGGTGTGTTCAGAAATTTGTAATTGTTGTGTGTGCAGAGAACATGTTGTGATTTGATGACCTATAAATGTAGGGGAAGACAAGAGTCACTGAGGCCTGGAAGACACAGTTAAGGAGTTCAGACCTTTATCTTACACATAATAAAGAACACGAAAGGTCTTCAAATGCATTTTATCCAAAATGATCACAAGTTGCAAGAACTGCTCTTATCTTTAACCCAGGTTTACCAGTTGACTCATCTTGCTGTATTTGCTCTGTCACACTTACTCTCTGTGTTGCAGATTTTTAAAAAAAAGATTTATTTTTATTGCAAAGTCAGATATATAGAGAGGAGAAGAGAGAGAGGAAGATCTTCTGTTTGATGAATCACTCCCCAAGTGACCACAACGACCAGTGCTGTGTCAGTCCGAAGTCAGGAGCCAGGAACTTCCTCCAGTCTCCCACACAGGTGCAGGACTGGGCCATTCTTGTCTACTTTCCCAGGCCACGAGCAGGGAGCTGGATGGGAAGTGGGGCTGCCGGGATTAGAACCAGCGCCCATATGGGATCCCAGCGCATTCAAGGCGAGGACTTTAACTGCTAGGCCATGCTGCCAGGCCCTGTGTTGCAGATTTTGTTTTATTATTTATTTTGCTCCTGAACACCTCAGTGTTCATTTTCTTAAGGAAAGACATTCTCTTTTATAATCATAGCAACTTGTCAAATTAACGAAATTTAATATCCATGTAATATCCATGTAATATCCATGTAATTCCATGTATAGTCAATGTTAAAATGGTCCGATAAAGATCTTACCATTTTTCTTTTCCAGTTTGAAGATTCAATCTATGAGCAGTTTGGGATTACCTATTGCATTTAGATATTATGTAATTGAAAAGTTTTAAGTATAAATTAGTGTGGATTATGTTTTAGGAAGATTACTCTGATCTCAATGTGAAGAATGTACTGGAAAGGTCTATTTCAGAAGGCATGAGTGATATGAAATTCTAAGATGAGAAATGATCGTATAATAACTGCTGAAACTGGGAAGTATCAAAACATTTTAGCTGGAAAGACTCCGTGAAATATGGAGATGATATGAAAATTTGGAGGTGACAGTATATGTAGGAAAAAGATAATTTAAAAATGAATCCCAAGTTTCTGGCTTGAAGGGCTGTGTGCATTATGAATGAGAATTTTAGAAGTTAGCAGATGAATTAAAGGTTCAAAGGGCAAAAGAAAAAATAATGAAAGTGGGGACATAACAGCTGGAGATACATCCTCAGAAATTGGGGGTGTTGTGGCTGAGGTGAAAAGGGTAGTTGAGGTCCAACAAGTGTCCAGGAGAGAGCATAAAAGTAGCGGCGGCCACACAGGTCATGGGAGATGTGCAGGATACAGCACAGGAGAAGGAAGGAGAGACAAGGAAGGGGGGAGTGGAACGATTGCAAATGCCTGACAGACTCCAAGGAAGGTATGTTCTGCAAATACTCTTTCCCATTTCTTGTTTGGGAGCTTGTTGGTCCCCTCGGCAAAGAAGCAGCATTGAGGTAGAAGAATCGATGCCTGCTACAACAAGGGCTGGAGGAGTGAGAAGGGTGGAGTGGTATGAGGGTAACATTGCTAATTTTGTTCAGGGAGTTTATCTTAGAAGAACAAAAGAGATAAAGAACTGACTGAATCTAAGGAAATTTTTTCTTTTCTTAAACGAAAACGATGCTCCTGGAAAAGAATGCCCGACTTTCTATTTTTTGTAAAGTAGTGAATGATTTGGGGTGGTTGCTGATGTAAAGACAGTAGTTAAATTCAGGCACTACACTGAAGTCACGTGTTTGTGGCTTGGAGATTTAAAATATTTCCCTTCTAATTTTTTTAATGCCTTAATGCCAGTAATAAAAAGAATATTGAGGAAAATGTAAAACAGAAATGTGGATTGCGCTGGTACTTTTTTTTCCCTCTGTGCCTTAAGCAATTAATGTTTTTGTCAGTCTTATTTTATCTTGATTTTTTTTAAAGATTTATTTATTTTTGTTGAAAGATTTGCAGACAGAAGGAGAGACAGAAAGATCTTCTGTCTGCTGCTTGACTCCTCAAGTGGCCACAATGGCCAGAACTGAGCCAGTCTGAAGCCAGGAGCCAGGAACTTCTTCCAGGTCTCCCATGTGAGTTCAGGGTCCCGAGGCTCTGGGCCGTCCTCAGCTGCTTTCCCAGGCTAGAAATAGGGAACTTGAAGGGAAGTGGAGTGGCGCCCTGGGATCCCAGAACACACAACGTGAGGACTTAGCCCCTAGGCTACTGTACTGATCTGTTCTTACAAGCGTATTCCCCACATCTTTTCATTTCATCTGTAAATAGTTAATGATCATGGCTTGGCTTTGCTGTGTTACAGATTTGCTTTGTAGTTACACTCTGATCCCAGGGTAATAGGAAATAGGCATTAATATTATAGAGGGATTATGATTCTAGCTGTTTATTTTTAATCAAAGCATTCCTTAGTGTGTAGTAAGATTCATAAAATTAGCAGTTTACATATACCTTTTTGTAAATATGTAGAGTATCATCTGAGGTTCATTCAGGAGCTGCTATGCTGAGGAACCTCAGATACTCTGTAAGGTGTAACTGAGGATCACCATTTCCCCCGTTTCTTAGCCATTCACAGGCATGTTTGTTTGATCTGTATTACTGAACTCTTTGCATCCAGTGTTTATATATTCCAGTTCATCTTTCACATCCATAGAATTCATTTTCCAAAATCGTAGATATGATAATCTCATTATATAATTGTTAGAGATACCTAACTTCAGAGTTCTCTTTTTGTAGCCAAGCCTCTTTTCTGTCCCTTTTCTGAACTCCATTCCTTCTGTGGCTTATGGGTATTAAGTGTTTATTGTTTTGGGACATTGTATTTTTGTTTCATTTTGCAGCGTATGCTCTTGGTCAGCCCTTTTGTTAGATTGGAGTGGTCCTGGTTTTCTGAGGTTTAGCTAAGATCTCATGTTGCTTTGTCTTCGGTGTCTTTGACATCATCTTAGACATATTTAAATGTTCTGTTATCCATATTCTTAGAACACATGATAAAATGCTTTTACAGCTGTTATCATGGTGTTGCTAAAGTTACTTGCTTTCATTTCTGTTTTTTGGGGATCCCCTTGCCTCCACTCCAATGTGACCACAAACTGGATTATTTGTAGCAGCCAGGGTGGTGCTTGGCACATGGTAGATACTCTGTAATAGGTCGTTAAGATTAATTATGAGATTATGTTTATTTAAGCTTATGATTGGGATGTTGGGTTATGTATTAATAGACGGAAGCAAAATTAACGCAAGACTTCTTTTAGTATATTATAATTATTAAACGCTTTTTGCTATTTTACCTAGTAAAGACAAATTGAGGGACCTAGCTAAGTATCGAATGTGGTTGTTAGGTATGAAATCTACGTATTTATTCCATAATCAGATGGAAAATGAATAGTAAGCGAGAAAGATTGGCAGGGCAAAAAGCTAAGTGATAAAACTGGGGAAAAATGAGTGCAGTGATATTTTAGTGCATTGGCATAAAAAAAAACACTATTATGAAAGAAATAGAGGTTCTGAGATATTTTTCAGGGAATGTAATCATTCCATAAGGAGACTGCGGTAGGAGACACTCTGGCTGGTGGTGAATACAACAGGTTTTAACATATTTTGTCTTTCTTTAGATTTTTTTTAATGTTATTTCATTCTTTTTCTTACATTTATTTATTTTTTAATATATATCTTTTTATTAAGTTTATTTTGGTAAAATTTGTTGTAGTTTTCCCTACGACCACTAGAATGCACTGTAATGCAGGGTTTTGTGTTCAAAAACGCTTTTCTTGTTGATGTAGTGTATAAATATTACATAAACTTAATGCAGTTTTATTGCCATTTTTATTTAAAAGATTTAACATAATATGTTGGCAGGCCGATTATATTACATTGCTTTTTGACCCTTAAGAAAGAAGTGTTTTAATTTGGCTTATGGTAGATGGATGTACCTGTATGGTTTTGGAAAATTCTAATATTGACAGTTACATTAAGAACCTTGTTTACTTTATGATAATTCTAAATCAGATTAGTATTATAAACCTTACCCTTTAATAGTAGCATTATTATAAATATAAGTTTGAAAACATTTGGTCTTGAGATGATGAAATCTTTGTGATTAAGACATATATTGAGAACAGTGTAAAAGATATTCCAGATAACATGGACTAACGAAAGAGAACTATGTATGCACAGTTGGTTAATAAATATAACAAGAAGGTAGACCTTTTCTGCCTCAATGCACTGATTTTCTTTCCAAGGAATTTTTCTTAATGGATGCCTTATGTATCATATATCATCTAGTGATGTACTGTTTTGCATGTATCTGCGCACACACGTTAAACTTGTGTTTGGGCTTACTGAACGTAGTATTTTGAACCTTACTTTTTTGCTTAAGCTTAAAGGTCAGTTCATTTCAGGAAGCAAGTATTCTTTTATACATAAACACCTGAGGTATGAAGCTTAATCAAGTATCCAGAAAAATTCCATTACTTTATACATACAAGCTGTTAACAGTTTTATGACAAGCTTTCCATTAGTTATTTAAAAAGAAAAAGAAGAGGCATTTAAAATTTGGCCATGTCACTCTTTCCTTGATTCCTTACGACTTTGTTTCTTTGGTGTTTTGAATTATATTCTTTTTGTTAATGCCTAACTCGTAACACATTGAATATTCTTGTAAGTGGTCTCAGTATTTGGGAATGGGAGGTGGAGCCAGCTAAAGTGTGCATATATGTCAAGCAGATGTGGACATTTTTAGCTAATATTTCAGAAATACCTACCTTTTTTTAGATTACTTTTCGGGTGTCAGATTGTTAAATCTGAAATGGTGCAATCTGATTAATTAGAAACAATAGCATTATGTTAACTTTTAAAAAGAAGACGGACAGTCTTCCCTAGTCATAGTTCTTGCACAGCAAAGGCCAAAGGATCTGTGTTCATTCCCACTGCAGTATCTTTTCAACATGGAGGATTTGGATTTGATTGGTGTTCCCCCCCTCTCCCTTGTTCACTGCCATGAACACTTGGTAAATTATAATTACCTGACAGGACATAGAGTGTTATAGATGAATTTTATTTGTAAAGTGCTTGACTTTGATTTTTTTTTTTTACAAGTTTACTTCACAGTTCAATTTTTTTGACTACTTTCAGTAATGGAATTCAACTCTGGCAACCATTAAAAAGTTTGAATACTATAGAAACTATAATGGTGTAAGTTTAATTTGTGATCACAAGATTAATGATTCCCAGTGTTATTCCTTTCTTTTGTTTTAGTGACACTTGATGGTGTAATAGTGACAATAGGCAATTACTTTTATATTATTACTTTGACAACATGGAAGGCAATGAGCCTTTGAAAATTCTCTAGGAGTGATTAATCAAAACTGCATACTAATGACTACTCCTATTATGTATCATAAAGTTAATTTAAATATGTTTTAAGATGGTTTGTATTTTCTCATTTCTTTGTTAGAGCCAAATACCACAAGTTGAAATATGGGACAGAATTGAATCAGGGAGATATGAAGCCACCAAGCTATGATTCTGGTAAGCTATTTTAAAGGAAGTATAAGAGAAAAAAGTTAAATCCAATATTTTTATAGCAAGAACATTTATAACTGTAAGCTAATTTCTAATTACGTGTGTGTTATATTTTTTCTGTTCTGTTTATCATGTGGCAGTAATCTCTAAGATCACTTATATAATTTTCCACTGCCTTCCTCCCTTTACCCTCTTTCCCTTTCTCTTAGTTTCCCATTTCCTGCTTGTGTTCTGCACTGACTGGAAGGATTGGAATTAATGGGTAACATGTACCAACTTACCCTTGTCTTGCTGGATCTGCCCAGCATTAATGGAAATTTTGAGATGTGCAGTACAAATTACATCCTGTCCTTGAAATCCTGAAAGAGTAGGAACTGCCGAGGTGAGAGGGTTCTCAGAGCGCAGAGGGATTCCTATTTTGTATTTTGTTACAGATTCTATAGCCAGCGTAGGTTTAAAACCTAAAACTTTTTTGCGTTATTCTTTTTTCCTACTCCCACTTTCTTCTTCACACTACCAGCTAGTACAAAATAGTACTTGTAAAAAATATATATACATATATAATTTGCTCAGTAGTAAGTTGTTAGGGAAAACAAAGAAATTATTCAGATGTTATCACTGTGTTTCATCTGAGTATATTTTTGGTATAATTTCAAATTAGGTTCCTTTCATTTATGTAATTTTACTGAAATGCCTACCTGTGCTAGAGACTTTATGTGTCTGTATTAACATCACTTGTTAAATCAGTTACTCGATAAATATAACATTTTTTCATGTGTGTATGAAATTTAAGTTAAGAGGAGTAAAGAAACTACCTTAAATCATACAACTGTTAAGTGTAGGGTTATGGAAGCAAATCCAGATCTGTCTGACTGCTAGCTACATACTCCCCATGCTGGTTCTGTATTTTACATTGTATGAAAGAAGTTTCCAAAATGATTTCTAATAGTGCTGCCAGTTTTGTATTTAAATCACTTTAGTGCTCTGTTACCATTTTTCTGTAGCTAAATATTAAGTCCTTGAGATTTAGAGAAATAGTAATTGATCAATGATGTATTTTTTTCCTTTTTTTGTTATAGTTTTTACTTGTCTGCTAGCTTAAAAAGTGCTTAAATTTTGCAAAAATAATTTTAAGCAAATCTGGGCTCTTTGTTAATGCCTGTTTAAAAAATATTTTGTCTGCTTCAAAGAAATGATTTTAATTAAAACTACATTTAAAAGTTTTCATTTCCCATTTTTTTTACTATACTTACTTACGTTTGCTTTAATGTTTAAAAGTGACTTTAAGATATACATTTATTAGTATGGAAACCAGATTACAATGTATAGAAAACATTTATGGGTAAATAGTACAGCTCAGTGGAAAGAGCTGGGGTGTTGGAATCAATTATGAATTTCTCTGTTCTGATGCTTAAAATCCCCGTGATATTAATTAATTTCTCTGGTGTTTTATCATTCCTAAACTGTAACTTATTCTTGGACCTATTCCTAACTCAGATATTTTTTCTTATATACAGTTCCAAATTAAACATTTGTATCATTCCATCTATGTTTCCAACCATCAATTCATCTGAAACATTTTAAGTATTTCATCCTTGTCATATCCAGAGAACAAGACAGTACTTTATTGGATTTTATAGGGAAAGTAAACAAAGAATTGATTGTAATAAAATATGATATGTATAACAGAGACGTAAATGTTACTGAGCATAGCAACTGGGGAACAAAATGGAGTCTAAATGATCAAAGGTTTCTTTTTTTTTTTAAAGATTTAGTTTTATTATTTTTTTTATTGGAAATAAAGGCAGATATACAGAGAGGAGAGACAGAGAGGAAAATCTTCCGTCCCATGATTCACTCCCCAAGTGAGTGCAACGGCCAATGCTATGCTGATCCGAAGCCAGGAGCCTCTTCCGGGTCTCCCACGCGGGTGCAGGGTCCCAAAGCTGCTTTCCCTGGCCACAGGCAGGGAACTGGAAGGGAAGCGTGGCAGCCGGGATAGAACTGGCGCCCATATGGGATCCCGGGCGTGCAAGGTGAGGACCTTAACCACTTGCGCCACTGCGCCGGGCCCTGATCAAAGGTTTCTTGGAGAAAGGTTACCTTTGACATCTGAATGACAAGACAAGTAGGGATATTTTTGAATGAGAGGTAGGGAAGAGTTTTAAATAGCAGTAAGGCTTTGTGTGTGGCACTTTGAAGAATAGGATAATTGGATAGTAAAGAAAACAAGGAAAGGAGTGTTGCTAGATATTGCTGGAGAGCTAGCTAGAGGGTAGAATGTTATGAAAGTAGTGAAATAAGCTAAGGAGTTTGCACTTTTCTTAAGAGTGATGAGAGGACTTTTGAAGGATTCTAATTAGAGCTTTGTAATCAGATTATCTTTGATTATGTCAACTGTAGTATGGAAGATGGATTAAAGAGCAGCGAAACTGGAGAAGAGGATATGAGTTAGAGAACTGTTATAGCCACCTGGGTAAATCAGAGAGATTACCTTAACAGGTGACAGTAGAGTTGAAAATTGTGTTAAATAAATAGAAGAAAAGTAACATCCACAGGAACTTGCTCCTGATTGAATTAAGGAGATAAAAGAAGTGACAAGTTAAAGCTAACTCTCACGTTTATAGTTTTAAAAACCTAGACTAGGAGTAGAACAATGATGAGTTCATCTTTTGGATTTTTTTTCAGATAGTCAAGTTAAGACAGTGCGGTAGGGTGGGTGGGTCTTGGGCTCAAGGCGAAGATATAGGTTAGGTATGTTGATTTGGACAGTATCAGCATGTAGTATTGATGGAACTACGTTGAAGCCATTGCAGGAGAAGAGAATACTGAAGAATCTTAGGTAGAAGAGTAAGAGCACTTGAATGGAACCCTGTGGAGTGACAGCATTTAAAATACAGATAGGGAAAACTGATAAGGCTACTTTAATAGCAAGAGGAAAGTCAGAACAAAATTTCCAGAAGGAATTAGTGTTCAGCACTCCTGAGTAAATCTCAGATGGGTAGAGTCCCTGTAGGAGTTACTGATATACAGTTCACTGAGCACTTTATGGTCTTCAGTTTGAGAGAGAGAGGGTGGCAGGACAAAGGCATGAGTTGAATATGAAAACTGGATTAGTATAATCGACTATCAGGGAGCCTAGGAGATGAGAAGGCAAAAGAGCATCAGAGGGCAGTTGCTGAAAGCACGAGTCGGGGAAGGGAGATAGGGAGAGTTGTGTTTCTTAGGGAAGGAGCAGTGAAAGGGGGAAATAGCAGTGCCAGTGCTGTGGTGCAGTGTGTTAAGCCGTCTGTGACACAGGTATCCCATATCGGAGCCATGGCTCAAGTACCAGCTGCTCTGGATCTGCTTCTGATCCAACTCCCCACTGATGCCGCCTGGGAAGGGGGCAGAAGATGGCCAAAGTGCTTGGGTCCCTGCCACCTGGATGAGAAACCCAGAAAGAGTTCCTTGCTCCTGGCTTTAGCTTGGCCCAACTTCACTGCTGCCATTTGGGGTTGTGAGCCAGGGTATGGAATCAGTCTCTGTTGCTCTCTGTAACTGCCTTCCAAATAAATAAATAAATAAATAAATCTTTTTAAAAGAAAGTAGACATATTTAGAATAGGAAGATATATAAAGAAAGAATAGGAATTCCTGAAAGAAAAACATGGCTTATTATTACCAAGAGAGAACATGAGAGTTAGGCTTGAGGTTTGTAGATTTGGGATTCAGCTTGGTGGTGAGTATTTAAGGGACTTATCCATATGATAGCCTTATGTCTGGGATAGGATTGTTTGCTACAGGTAAGTCAGACAACTATGAAAAGTAGAGACTTAGAATACTGAGGTGAGTAGAAGAATACTAGGATTAAGAAAACGAATGGTCTTGTTGGGGTGTGTGATTATGAATTTAAATAGAGGCAGTAGTTACACATTTGGTAGCCTGGCTGGAGTCAGAATGTGGAGTCAGTAGTTGAATTCACTGAATTCGTGGAGGGACAGTGTTACAAGAAAGTAAAGAATTTTGGCAAAAGAGTGACAGACTGTGGACTAAAATTAGAGAAAGAAGAAAGTGAAGCTGAAAAGAAGCTCAAGTTAAAAGTGTGCCACTGGGGTCTAGAACTGTTCAGCTACTTTGTTCAGTAAAGGGCCAGATTGTAAATATTTATGGCTTTGTAGGTGGTATGTTCTTTGTCACAGCCACTCTGGCATTGTAATAGGAAAGACATAGACAGTATGTAATTGAATGAGTGTGTCTGTGTTCTGATGAAACTATAAATCAGGCATGGATTTGACCTGAGGGCAGAGGACTGCGTGAGTTGAAGTAGCTGAGCCTGTGGTTGTGTGTTTGGAGAGTGAGTGCATGGCAGTTGTGGAGGCCGGTAGTTGTGCAGACAGAAGCCAAAGTGCTCTCCCTCTGCGGATCCGGACTTGGCTGGGGAGGGTGTGTGATGGAGAGGAGGCCTGACCCAGGCTAAGGACAGTGATGAGGGGGCACTAGAAAGTGTGTCTCCAAATAGCATTTTTCACAATTTATATTTCCTTCTAATTTTGTTTTTCATTGTAGTGAATCTTTTATTTCTACTTTGGGATACTTAACATCTCAGGCTGTGTGAAAGACAACTACTTGTCTTTGCTATCTTAATTTTTCCTGTTTGAGTAGTACAAGCCAGATAATTATTGAAAATTGAATAATTTTATTCAATGAGACAAATTCTTTTTTTCTTTTAATGGTTCATTTATTCTACCAAAAAGTCAGAGCTACACAGAGAAAAAAGGAAGGAAATACAAAGAGAGGGAGAGAGATCTGTCTCTGGCTCTCTCTTGAAGTGGCTGCAGTAGGCAGAGCTGGGCCTGTCTGAAGCTGCGTGCTCAGAGCTTCTTCAGAGTTTCCCATGTGGGATGTGAGGGCAATCTGGCTGCGACATCTGTCACCCCATTGATCGGCAGGGTTGATTCCGCTGATCTGGCTGGCTGGCTGGGTGTCCCCTTCCTCCCTCAGCGCTCCATGTGCGTCCCCACTAGAGGACCGGTCTTTGGTCAAGGGAATACAAATAGCTGCGCTCCCCTGCTAGAACCTCCAAACAAGCTCTCAGAGTTTACCATGCGGGTGCAGGGTCCGAAGGCCTTGGGCCATCCTCTGCTGCGTTCCCAGACCATTATCAGGACTGGATGGGAAGTGGAACAATTGAGATTCGAACTGCACCTGTTATGTGTTGCTGGTGCTGCAGATGGAGGATTAAGCTTATATGCTACCATACCTTAACCCCGAAACTCTATTTTTTTTTAAAAGATTTATTTATTGGAAAGTCAGATATACAGAGAGGAGGAGAGACAGAGAGGAAGATCTTCTGTCCGATGATTCACTCCCAAAGTGGCTGTAACACCAGGTGCTATGCCGATCCGAAGCCAGGATCCAGGAACTTCTTCCAGGTCTCACACGCGGGTGCAGGGTCCCAAAGCTTTGGGCTGTCCTCGACTGCTTTCCCAGGCCACAAGCAGGGAGCTGGATGGGAAGTGGAGCTGCTGGGATTAGAACCTGCGCCCATATGGGATCCCAGGGCGTTCAATGCGAGGACTTTAGCCGCTAGGCCACGCTGCGAGGCCCAAAAGTATTTTTTTAATGAGATGTTTAGCTCACTTGTATTAGTGTGATTACCATATAGCATTGTGTTAAATGTAAATAGCATTACATTTAGTATTAGACTAATACTAGACTATACTTCTAGCTGTACAAGTTAATTGTTCCATTTCGTTTCTTTAATAATGACTGTGTTATTTTAGTCATTATGTTTGGTTAAAAGGAACATCTGTAACTTATTACAGCTTATCTTCAAGTAATAATACTGTTTCAAGTGTAATATGAGAATCTTATAATAATGCTTTTATTTCTTCTCACCTTGCCTTTTTATTATTGTATATGAAAGATACTGTCATCTTACTTTGTATATAGTTTATAACATTTGTTAATGCTATAAATTAATATAATATAATCTAAATGATATATAAATGTATTAAGCTATATATATAATATAGTATAAACTATATACTGTGTTATTACTTTTGTTTCAACAGTTAATTCTCTTTCAGTGAGACTTAAAAACAGGAAATATTTCCAGTGCTCATCACTCATTTTTGTAGTTTTATATTTCCATCTGGTATCATTTTGCTTCAGTCTTAGCGACTTTCTTAAAAGCATTTCTTGCAGTAATGACTCTTTTCAGTTTTTGTAATGTTTGTCAGTTTCGCTAAGTGGCATTGTTGCTGAAGAAATGAACACCTGCTGTCACCCTTTGTTTTTGTTTATTCAATGTGACCCTTTTCCTCTGGCTGCAGCTAAGATTTTCTTTTTGTCATTGATTCTAAGCAATTTTATTATGTGCCTTGGTATAATTTCCTCTTTCTTCCTGTGATTGTGACTTGTTGAGTTTCTTGGATGTGTGGGTTAGTAGTTTTCTTTAAATTTGGAAACCTTAGGCATTATTTCTTGAGATAGTTCATTTGTTGAACCTCCCTGTGTTGTGATCTGGAATTACCAAGGCAGAAGCTGGGACACAAGGCTCACTTCTGCTTTCCTTCTGTCAAGAATCACCATCCTCTGTTGACTTACATCTAGTGTCTTGAAAACATTGTTTTGTCTCTTTTATACTTAACTTCAAGTAAGAGGGTAAATCGATGGCTGAGTGGCTAAATGTTTGTCTTGTATGCACTGGGATTCCATATGGGCGGTGGTTTGTGTCCTGGAAGCCCCATTTACCATTCAGCTAGCTCCCTTCTTGTGGCCTGGGAAAGCAGCAGAGGATGGCCCAAGGCCTTGGGACTCTGTACCCACGTGGGAGACCTGGAAGAAGTTCCTGGCTTCATTAGAAGATGGCCAAAGCCTTGGAACTCTGTACCCACATGCACACTTGGAGGGAGCTCCTGGTTTTGGATTGGCTCGGCTTGAGCCATTGCAGCCACTTGGGGAATGAATCAGCAGGTGGAAGATCTTTCTGTCTCTCTTCCTCTCTGTAAATTTGCCTTTCCAGTAAAAGTATAAATAAGTAAATAAATCCTTAAAAAAAGGAGAGTAGATCTAATCCCTATTACTCCAACTTGACAGGAAGTGGCCATCAAATAAGTATTCTTAATTAATTAAGATTTACTTTAAAAATCTTCACTTTCATGAAATGTTGCCTTTTACCCTCAATATAACAAGAATGAATCTGATATTTGGCAACTATTTACTCAAATGGAAAGAACTGTGAGCTTAGCCTTGATAGAATATAAGTGATTTGATTTTGAGAGGATAGAAGTATATTCATATTTCACTTGTCTCACTTACTTCCTTATATACATTAAAACTGGCCATCTTTACTGTTCTGTGAACATGTACAGTCTGTGGCTGCTCCCTTTCTTCTCCTTTTTTTTTTTAAGATTTACTTACTTTTATTGAAAAGTCATATTTATAGAGATCGGGGAGACAGAAAGAGCTTCCACCTGCTATCTCTTTTTCCAGATGGCCACAGTGGCCAGCACTGAGCTGATCTGAAGCTTGGAGCCTCCCGAGTCTCCCATGTGGGCATGGAGTCCCAAGGCATTTGGGCCATCCTCCACTGCTTTCCCAGGCCACAAGCAGACAGCTGGAAGGGAAGTGGAGCAGCTGTGACGTGAATTAGTGCCTGTATGGGATCCTGGTGCTTATAGGCTGAGGATTAACCAGTTGAACTATTGTACTGGCCATGATTACACCCTTTTCCAGTCTAGCCCTCCCTCCCCATTGAAATATTCTGGCAACCAGTAATCTATTTTCCATTTTTATAGCTTTGCCCTTTGCTGGAAGTGTTTGAGGCTTATTATCTTTGTATATGTCAGGATTCATTTCATTGTTGTGGAGTAACACTTCATTAAATTGATGCATTATTGTAACATCAGTGGCTGCTGAAATAGGTAGAAGCAGTTGAGTATGTCTGAGAATGGAATAGAAAGGATTTAGGCCTATTCTGATGGGAGATGAAGTACCTTAAAACTTGTTAAAATGCTGATGTAAATGTTCTTACCTGGCCAGTACAGGTTATATATTTGGCATGCGCTACACTGTAGCACGTGGTGTAGCATACAAATTCCTGTATTTATGTATCAGTGAAAATAAGATGCGTAATTTTTTCTTTGGTTTTTGGCCTTATTTCTGCCTTTCTTTTTTTAAACTATATCCTCTTTGAAATTATCTTCTGAAAAAACTTTACTTGGAGTTTGTTTTCCTCATTTTCTTACTGCCAGTCTACTTTATTATTATTCTTGGTATATTACAGGGCATACCTCATTAGTTCAGAGTCATATCTAATTCTTACTTTCAATCACCTGGATCTTCAGTTTTCTGTCATTGTAGTAACAGACAACAGGTGAAGAAAAATGTTGTGATTCTAGAATGACACAGCTAAAAGTTTATCCTTTGAAATCCACTTTGTCTTTTTAACATAGAATTAAACACCTGCTTTAGGAAGTTGTAAGGATTAAAGGAGATAATGTGTGTGACACAATGACTGAAACAAAATGTAATGTGATTAATTTCAAGTGTAAACAATGCATTTTCTAGTTTCTCTGATACTTCTGCTTGATAAAATCCTACAGTTTCTTACACGTTGATCAAAGAATGATAAAAAGTATGAATTCTTTAAGTTGAGTTGGGAAATTTTTCAGTCTGGGCTTAGAATGAAGGAAACTTAAATTTCACTGACTTGAAAGAATTCAGCTTCTACCTAATGATGAACCTAAGCTATAAAAGGCATAGAAGATTTCTGTTCAAAAATATCATTGAAAGTTTTTTATTTAATAGCTACTGGAGGAAACATTGGATTAAAATTATTTTATATGTCTATATTTTTTTAACCAAATTGGCTATTTCATTATCGTATTTGGGCATTTTGCTCACGGTCTGATGTGACACTTTATACTTTTATTTGACTCTTTTGGGTGACTGATTGCATAGGTCTTTGTCCTGGAGGACAATTGCCTGGCTTCCTAGTGATAGAGAAAATACTGTTTTAGCTCTACTCCAAGGTAATCCACTAGCAGCAACCAATTTGTGTTTGAGTTTCGCTATAGAAGTGAGCATTGCAAAGAATTTACATTGTTTTAAAATAGATCTTACAATTGCAGTATAAACAGATTTTTTGATCTTTTAAGTCTTTATTGGGCTTTTTCAATGAGTTACGATGTCTTAAACAAGTCACTTTTATTATGATTTGATTTTTCTAGATGAAGGTAATGAAACAGAGGTGCAGCCACAACAGAATAGCCAGTTAATGTGGAAACAAGGTCGGCAGCTACTCAGACAGTAAGTATCCCAAGGTTAAATTATCCACGGTTAAAAATGAAAAAGTTATTTTCATGAGATTGTGTTTATTTTCTATTGTCAATAAATAATGTTTTTTATTATCATATCTTTGTGGGAAAACTTCACTTCCTCCATGTGCTAGAGTTTATATTATTGAAAGATCTTATACCATTAAAATTACTCTCTTTATTGCATCTTTTAGGCAAGAATTTGCATGTTTAGTCAGTGATTATATATGACTTTTTGTGTTTAAATTTGTTTGAAATGCACTGGGGAAATTTTTGAATTCTCCAAATTTGTAAATATTGTGTAACATACACTTTTTTGTAAAGAGTGTGTACCTGTGCCTCTGAGGAGGAGATAACAAGGCGTTGGGGTTGTGGTGTCAGGAGGGGAATAGACGCACCGGCTCAGTGCCTGTTCTTGCATACCATCTTTGACAACTGGTACTCAGCCTTGGGACTCGGTCAAGTGAGATATATTGCCTGATTTGGGGTTTTGGAGCTACTTAAATCTAGTTCGAACCTGTGATTTCTAAGTTGAATTCATAATAGGAAGAGAATATTAAAACATCTCCTTATATCTCTTTTTCTGTTTGTTTGTTTGTTTAGACAAGGAAGAAAAATGAGACTTTTACTAAGGTGTAATAAATGTATTCTCACTAATATGTAATAAAAAGTGCTGTCACTTTAGTTTTAAATATAACTTAGGTATTTTTCTTTTTCATGAAAAGTGGTGCTCTTATTTTGTTATAAGAAGTTGTTTCAGAAGGAGCTCTCTGAGAGATATTTTAGAAAACTTAGAAATCCATTAGTCAAAGAAAAGATGGCATTTTAATCAATGAATAATGAAGTAACACTTTAATAAAATTATCTTATGGCAAGAGGATTTTTTTTTGAAGAGAATTTTTCCTAAAAGTTTATTCATATCTTGTTTGAAAGACAGAGCTGCAGATAGGCAGAGAGGTCGTCCATCTGCTGGCTCACTCCTCAAGTGCCCACAGTAGCCAGGGACTCACCAGGGGGACGTCTCAGTTGGTAACATAAACCACTCCATTGAACACCTACCCTGCATGAGCAGTTTTAAAATAAGTATCTGTAATGTGATGTGATTTTGTTGCCAAAGTGAGATATGTATCACATGCTATTTACAAATATTATTATTTGTAACTCTTGTAGTAACATGCTAATAAATATTAAGTTCAAAGAAATTGAATTTTATTCCAAATTTTAAGACTTTTCTGTAAATATTGGATGGAATTGAAAAGCAAGCATCTTGATTTGATAAGACAGACTTACTTCATATGATTACACATCTTTTTCAGGTATCTCTTTTATTTCTAATAATGACTAAAATCAAATCCTGGGTCTCATGTTGTGGTGCTGTGGATTAAGCTGTCACCTGCAGTGCTGGCATTTCATATTTCTGATTGAATTTCTGGCTGCCACATTTCCCATTCAGCTGCCTGCTAAGTCACCTGAGAAAGCAGCAAAGATGGTCCACATTCTTGGACCCCTGCAGCCGGTGTGGGTGATGTGACAATCCAGATGGATTTCTGGACTCGGCTTTAGCATGGCCCCCAGCCCTGGTTATTGTGGCTACTTGGAGTATGAAAAACCAGTGGAAGGAATCTCTCTCTCTCTCTCTCTCTCTCTCTCTTTCTCTCTGTAACTCACATTTCAAATAAAAGAATAAAACTTTGAAGAAAAATCAAATCATAAGACAAATTCAAACTGGTTGTCCTTCACCTTTTTTTCCTTATTCATCTAGTGGAGTCCATTCTTCCTTTTATTTTGCTTTTGCCTAGCATTTGTCAATCATGTTTCTTACTGTCATTTGCCTTTTTTTTTTTTTTTTTTTTTTACAGTTTTGCAATTGCTGATTATGGTCTTTTGTGTAAATGTTGGTAGGATGGGAGCGCTTTCTACCTACTGGAGCCAGGATTAGGTGTGTCTTCGGAGGAAGACAGCTGAGGAGGGCAGAGTGGCATAGTAAATAAGTGATAGAACAGACTTAACACTCAGATCTAACTCAGGGTGAAGTATGTCCTCTCTGTTTTGTTGCTTCTCTGTAACGTACACATGTACATACACACACAGCACAGTTTGCTTGCAGTCTATTTTTTTTTGAGTTCTCTCTTGCTTGAAGCTTGCCTGTTGTAGCAATGACTCTTGCGAAATGTTCTGTTCTTGTTGTGTAGTTAACCAGATAGGCCAAACAATTGATCCATGACATTTTACACTAGACGTTAACAACAACAACAAAAAACCCCTACTGAGATCACTATAATAAAATAGCAATTTGGTAGAATTTGGGAAAGAGCTTTCTATAGTTCTGCAAAAAGCAAAGAATGTACAGTGATATATGTTAAAGAATAGCATCATCTTATGATACATGAATGGTCTATTGTATAGTTGTTTGATTTTTTTTTTCTCTGTGACTGTAGAGGCTGGTACTGCAAGAGGCAGCTCTTTCTGCAGCTGGAAGATTATTTATTAACAAGCCTTACCAGCATAATACTGTACTGTTAAGTCTTATGCAGGCAAGAATTTGAGAAAAATACTTTTATTTGCATGTTAAGTCATGAGCTATTGATTGCAGTGTGGCTGACTTGTAAGGATTGTCCTCACACAGGTATCTACAGGAGGTGGGCTACACAGACACTATCCTAGATGTGAAATCGAAACGAGTGCGAGCTTTGTTGGGCTTTTCAAGTGATGTCACTGACAGGGAAGATGACAAAAATCAGGACTCCGTTATAAATGGTACAGAGGCTGAAGTTAAAGAGACAGCAATGATTGGGTAAGTATTTTGTCTGAAAGTTGTTTTAGTTTTAATTTTTGCTCTCACGAGACATTTTTGCCTTTATGGGTCTTACTTGTACTTTTAGTGAAGTAAAAATAATTTAGTGGCAAGCTTAATAAAAATGCTAAAAATTCATTTGGTTACAAGGCAACCCAGGGGATTACAGTTAATATTTATGATTATTTTAATTCAAGAATACTTTTTATTTAGGGTTTTTTTGTTTTGCTTCAGATTTATTTACTGTAGATTTTTAATATCTAAAGTTCAGATACTTGCTATAAGAATGTCATAATCTTACGACATTCTTATAGCAACATAAGTTCAACATAAATTCAACATAAATTTCTAGGAAAGAAATTTCACGTGGTGTGACATAGAAAATGTATATATACTTAAGTCTTTAGAAATAAAGCTATTCTTAGCCACTTTTTTTATGTAATAATGTTATAGCTCATTTTTCCCATGAAGTAAAATACCTAATTTTAAGTATTTATTCTTTAATTGATTAAAATATGTTGCTTTTAATGTTGGATAATAAACCATACACTTAATTGTACTTGAATATGACAGTTCAGTAAGGAAATTTTTTAATAGAAAAAGCTTGTGGTTTTTTTTTAAATAGATTATAAAAGCTAAGATTGTGTAAAAATCTAAAGTGTAATGTTACGTTATTTTAACACCTGTCAAGACTGGAATGGTTTTAATCTCTAAATTTTCAGTGAGTACGTAATTCCTGTTATTTAGAATATAGGCTAAAATTATATAGTTAAAGACTCAAAGTGGGACTTTGAACCCTGGTCATTGAGACCTTCTTAAATGTATTTTATAATAGTTAAAATAAGCATTTATGCACTTGTATTTATAAGTGGAAAATGAAATTATTTTTCTGTATAGACATGTGGACAAAGATTTAATTCAGTAAGTTAATGGCATTAACTTGTCTTTTGAAACTAACAAACCCAATATTCTGAATCTATCAGTGTTCCACAGGGGTAGGAACACCAGAGCATACAACTGATAATAGATTTGAAATTTAAGGTTTATCTCTTTTGGGAACTTTATTTATAGTTGTGGCTACGTGTTTTCCCCCAGGAAAGTACCTTTTTTTAAAATTTAAGACGTTCTTTAAAATGTAGAGAAATCATTCTTTTTCTGACCAATAGTAAACTATTTACTAGAAAAACTTTGAAGAAATTAAGCACAAACTTAAATATTTGAAAATGTACTTCTAAAAAATAAATGGTTATTTATCAGCCAAATCAAAGGATGTAGTAATACTAATTTGAGTATTGCTTTTAGTAATTTTTTTTGCATATTTGCTCTTTTTATCTCACTAGCTGTTTAACAGAAATATAAAATCAACGTAGAAAAATGATGTGAAAACTCGTATATAGGGTCAGAGGAAGAGTTGCAGACAGCAACTCTTTCAATAGAGAGAGACATGATAACAATGTCTTTTAAAATTTTTTACTTGCAAAGCAGAGGGATGAGAACAGTTTCCAGATTCACTAGTTAACACCTTGGCTGTCTGCAGCAGCTGAGGAGCCAGGCCAGGCCAAAGCCACGAGCCTCGCGTATGAGCGACAGGGACTTCGAAGCCTTTGCCGTCATCTGAAGCCTGCTCGGTGCTCACTAGCAGGGAGCGGTAATTGGAAGCAGAGTTGGGCCTTGAACCCAGTTACTTCCGTATGGAGTATGGGGTCTTAACTGCTGTGCCAAGCACCTACCCAAAGAAAACTACTTTTTTTTTTTAAAGAAATGTATTAAAGTTGACATAATAACCAAAGTCATATGGAGTCAGTAGATGGTGAATTACTTAGGCTAGATTACCACTAATCTGAATAGCGTTGATTACAGAAGCCTTTTGTAGGAGAAACCACTTCTTACATTACTTTCTCAATTAATTCACAGGCATGTAATAGAAAATAATTAATGAATATAGTGGTTGGACTTGGGGCTTATAATTATAAACACAATTAATGAAATGGCCAATTTGTATGCTAAGATTAAAAAGTTAACCTGGGACAGGGGTGGGGTATACACTGCAGTATAGTGTGTTAAGCTGCGTCTGCAGTGCCAGCCTTTCCGGCCCCACCCCCACCCCCCCCGCCATGTGGTCAACAGTTCGAGATCTGGTTACTCCACTTCCAGTTTGGCTCCTTGCTAATGTGCCTGGGAAAGCAGCAAGAGGATGGCCCCAGTGCTTGGGCCCCTGTCAGCCACTTGGGAGACGCAGAGGAAGCTCCTGGCTCCTGACTTCACCCTGGCCCAGCCCCTGTCCCTGTGGTCATTTGAGGAGTGAAGACTTCTCTTTTTCTGTCTGCCCCGCCCCCAATGCCTGTAACTCTGCTTTTCATATAACTATTTTTTTTTTAAAAGAAAAAGTTTAATTGAGCTTATGTGTATGTTTTAAACCAGAAAACCCGAGTTAACAGATTCTGCCTCTGTACTGGATAATTTCAAATTCCTTGAAAATGCAGCTGCAGATTTCAGTGATGAAGATGAAGATGATGACATTGATGGCAGAGAGAAAAGTGTCATTGATACTTCAACGGTGAGTTTAGGTGCTTAGATAATACCGATGCTTTTAAGAACTTTAACAATATATGTCCTTCAGTTCGTAACCTTTAACTCTTTTTCCTCTACAGATTTTTGGAAATTTATTCTTAAGAGGATAAATTTTTATTTAGAATTTAAGAATATTTTTAGAATAGCTGCTTTCTTTTAAAAGTCTTTACTCTCTGTTGATTAGTGAAACAATGCGACTTTTCTGTAGAGCTGGTGAACATGGTAAATGTCTTATCACATTGTACTGCTATTGCTGCTAAGTAGAGCTTCCCATCACATACTGTGCCCGATGGTGGCTAGTGTCAGCTTTGATCAACGTTGCTGTTCCCTCTCCTCAGAGGGGTGCTTTGCTTGTTTTTCAGACTTACAGAAATCTTCCATTGGAAATCTTCAGGATTGTTTAGATGCTTGTGTAGTTTTGTTCAGAGCATTGTAAGTTTATTGACTTTCCTGGTCAACTGTCTGGAATAAAAGGTGTCTAAATTATTGTTCCGTGTCTTTCTCCTTTTGTCCCCCATTTTCTTCTTTCCTCCCTTCCTCTTCCATTTACCCCTTTTCTTTTTCGTTTCATCTTTCTCCTCTTCCTTCTTTTTAAATTAAGAGATGAGGATATAATTTGCCTTATTTAGGAAAATATTCACATTTTCGTTTTCAGGATTATTTAGGTATAAATAGGAATAAAATCAAGTAATGTAAAGCAGATTAGAATTTAAAAGCTTGGGTTAAGACCCAGTTCTGCCACTCATTATGCTTCTTATAATAATAAACATTCATCCTATAGCTTAAAGAATTTAGTAAAGAGCAAAGAGACATTAAACATGACAATGATGTGTTGAACTATAATGTGCTTTCTAAATGTAGGTACTATGATTTTTTTTTTAATATCTTCCTCAGGATTTCATTAGATTCTTAAATTATTAATACCAGGTTATTGGGTTTTTTGGGCCACTATTGTAGACTGTCCTGTTACAGCACTGCTATGGATATATTTTTTTAAAGACAGATAAACAGAGAGGAGGAGAGACAGACAGGAAGATCTTCCATCTGATGATTCACTCCCCAAATGGGCGCTGATTGAAGCCAAGAGCCAGGAGCCTCTTCCGGGTCTCCCACGTGGGTGCAGGGTCCCAAGGCTTTGGGCCATCCTCGACTGCTTTCCGAGGCCACAGGCAGGGAGCTGGATGGGAAGTGGGGCCACTGGGATTAGAACCGGCGCCCATATGGGATCCTGGCATGTGCAAGACAAGGACCTTAACCCTTACGCCATTGTGCTGGGCACTGCTATGGATAATTTAAACTTCAAGTGTCACGATAACTTTCTCTTGTCCAGACTCGTATTAACTGTATATTGTCTTAGTTTGATTGAAAGAAAAAAGCAAACTTCTCTGACGCTTTTTCTTAATTACTCATCTGGAATTTATGCAACTTAGATTTCTGTGAGACAATTAAATGGAGAAATTATTTTTACAATCAGAATACCTTATTAATAGCTGACTGGCAAATAATAGCTTAGATTATGATAATGCAAGTTTTTGTTAATGATTAATTCAATTTAAGTGTATTAATGATCTGTAAGCTGATTAGTGAAATGTCTAGATTTTAATAGAAATTTTTAAATGTAAGCTAACCATTTGATTCCTTGATGAGTTGTCATTTAGTTTCTTTCTCAGAAATCAAATTCCTAAGTACCGTCTTCTAGTGACTGCAGATAGCAATGAGGTGACCAAGCAATGAAGATACATCTAGTATAAACTGACTAACCTCCACGCAAACACTTTACTAAAAATATTCTTGTAATTTTACAGACAAAAATGATGTTAAAACAAAGAATTGGTCTTGTTATAAGTGTTGCTAATTTTTGCAATATAGTAAGTTAATTTTCACAGTTGCAGGCTAATAACTACCTACCAAAAGAGTTTTTTTTTTCTTTTTTAAGATTTATTTATTTTTATTGGAAAGTCAGATATACAGACTGGAGGAAAGGCAGAGGAAGATCTGCCATCTGCTGGTTCACTCCCCAGGTGTCCACAATGGCCTGAGCTCAGCTGACCCAAAGCCAGGAGCCAGGAGCCAGGCAGGAGCTTCTTCCATGTCTCCCACATGGATGCAGGATGCTAATGCTCTGGGCGCCCTCCACTGCTTTCTCAGGCCACAAGCAGGGAGCTGGATGGGAAGCAGGGCCAGCTGCTGGGACACGAACTGGTACCCATATGGGATCCCAGCGCAAGGACTTTAGCCACTAGGTTACTCTGCCAGGCCCAGAAAGGTCTTTAGTAATCTATTATTATTATTATTGTTATTATTATTTAGTTTTAAAGTAAGATTTATTAGAAAAGCTGAGAAAAGAGGCTCCTTTCCTAGTGACAGGAGGGGGCTTTGAGATAAAAAGGACCCTCACCTCTCTCCATAGTGGCAGGAGGAAAAATGGAAAAGAAGATCCCTAGTAATCTATTTAATAGTAAGTAAGCTGTGATCTGGGATATGAATTGCGTTCTGTAGACGGAATGGCTGAAAATGATCTTACCGCTATGAGGTGTTGTGGCATTTAGTGGCTGTTATCCCATTTGGTGCCGATTGAAGTTCTGGTTACCCCACTGTATTGAAAATGGAGCATGGGCCTCATGCAGTAGCCTAGTGACTGGAGTCCTTATCTTGCAAGCACTGGAATCCCATATGGGCTCTGGTTTGTGTCCCAGCACCCTTGCTTCCCATCCAGCTCCCTGCTTGTGGCCTGGGAAGGCAGTGGAGGATGGCCTAATGCCTTGGGACCCTGTACCTGCGTGGGAGACCTGGAAGAAATTCCTGGCTCTTGGTTTTGAATTAGCTCAGCTCCAGGTGTGGCAGCCACTTGGGAAGTGAATCAGCAGACAGAAGATCTTCCTCTGCATCTCTCCTTCTCTTTGTGTATCTGAGTTTCTAATAAAAATAGATAAAAAGAAAAATATTCCATAAAGTTAAAGTTTTGGGGTCAGTGTTTTGGTCCAGTGATTGAATCGTTTGTGATGCTGGCATCCCTGTAAGCATTGGTTCCAGCTGGCTTCCTTTCTTCCTATTCAGCTCACCGCTAATGCACCTGGGAAAGTTGCAGAAAGTGATCCTTGCGAGAGACCTAGATGTAGTTCCTTGCTCCTGGCTTCAACCTAGACCAATTCTGGTTGTTGTGGCCATTTGGGTAGTGAACCTATTAATGAAAACCTCTTTTTTCTCTCTGTGTATACCTGTCTCTCTCTCTTTCTGTCTCTCTCTCGCTCTCTCAATTTGTCTTTCCAATAAATAAAGCTTTCAAAGAAGTAGAACTCTTTTAGCATCATGACAAAATCTTTGATTTTGTTGTGTCTAGTCTTTGTATGTACCAGGACAGTTAAGGTAGATAAGTTTCATCTGTGATGTCATATTTGCTGTGTTGGTAGTGACTCCTGGAGAGCTCTGATGGGAAGGATTTGTGAGACTGTATTATGTCTTCAATGAGAAGAGCTGTTATATGAGCTGTTACTGTGCCATGCATGTCAGGTGTTTTTTTCTCTGCCTCATTGAAATATCTACTAAGGCTTTATAATTTTAGTCATTCCTAATAGTTCGGAAATAATATGTGGTCAGATTAAATTATTTCTTTTTTACATGTGGTGAAGAAATGTTGACATGGTGAATCATTTTGTCAAAAAACAGAAAAGAATCTCAAAGTAGTGGTCATAATTTATCAGTGCTTCGAGTGTTCTCTTTAAGTGGATTTGTGATTCCAGAGATACTCTTGAATATGCAAAAATGAGAAAGAGCAAACCCTACCAAATTTAAGGTCTAAGTCATTTCACTCTGGGAAGCCAGTGTTTTTTTTTTTTTTTTTGCGGGAAAATATATGGAAAACTGCCAGGGAAAAGTGATACGAGGTTAGGATAGTAAAACTGCTAGTAGAGTCTAACAGAGCACCAGGCTTTGTAAGTCTTCAGCACTGTTTCTGAATTTGTAAGCTTTTGAGATTGTAGGTTTTGTGAGGGAGCTATATAGCCATACCATGTATCATGATTATATTCTTAAAAGCAATTGTAGTTTATAGCATGTCTTCTGTTTGGACTGGATGCAGTTTGCCAGACACTCTCAGAAATCTAGTTATGGTTTTCGTAGTATGGTAGACATCTTTGATCTGTCTAATTTAAATACATGTCTTGTTTTCCAGTGATTTCAATATATGTGTCCGTTAGTTTATTTAAAACAATGGAAATATTTAAATCATTTAAAACAAAACATTATTTAAACATTGCTAACTGAATTCATAATTGAATAAAGTTTAAGTAATTACTTTAACATGTACAGTGTTTGTCTTGATATTTGCAGTTTTGATTGAGTTAGGTTATTCAGAAAAATACTCTTTCTGAAGATAATAATTGAATTTTCTCATTCAGCTGACATCTCCATATTCAGCCTTTTAATATAGCATTTATTTTCCCATTAGATTGTTAGGAAAAAACCATTGCCTGATAGTAGTGAAGACCGAGATACGAAAGAAGCTCTAAAGGAGTTTGACTTCTTGGTTACGTCAGAGGAAGGAGACGGAGACTCCAGAAGCACAGGAGATGGAACTGACTGGGGTAAGGAAGCATGCTAGATCATGCCTGGGATGTTAAATAAATCAAAGAAATTAACACTTTATCAAGAGGCTAGCATCTTGCGGCACCATAATGTTGATATTTTGAACAACCTATGGGCTTTTCCTACTGTCAGGTTTCATCCAGAGTATGTACAGATATGTTTGGGAAAACTTTAAAAAATCCTTTCATTTTATCTATCTATTTACAGATATTTATATGTAATGTGAAAATACATTTAATTAAAATGCAGAATATTCTATTTTCTGCCAACACAGTACAGTTTGCAAATCTAGATTTTGTGGAGATTAAGTATGGAACATAGAGAGGATTGTGGAAGTCTCAGCTCTGGCATCTTCTGTGCAAAGAAACTGTGAATAAAAAATTGTAGTTACTCATTCTAGTTTAGGTTTTGATAACCTGTATTTTCTATATCCCTTATTTTCTTTTTCCTTTTGTTAATTTTTTCCTGAGATTATTTTAAATAAATCCAGTATTTCAAACATTTACTAAAAGTTACAGCAAGTTTTTTTGGGGGAAACTTCTTATAGCATGTATTATTTTAGGCTTGCTTAGGTCAATATCAATAGGCAAGGTTGTGATAAACACTTCACAAGTATTCTGTCGCGTGTGTATGTGTACACATTCTATATATGAATGAGTAAAAGAGAATGAGAGATTGAGAATGAAAGCAAGTTTTCTCCTAAAGTGGAAGAGTTCTAAAACTCAGTTAGTTCATGTTCTCTGTGCTTAGTAGATAAGGCTTGGAAATCAGTAGCTGTACTCATTTTTTCTTGGGGCTTTTCTTTGGGTCAATTTACAACATACAGAACTTTCAAATTCATATTTTATGCACTAAAAAAAGGCTAAGATTATTTTCCCATGTTTGTGATCTATTGTCGTAAGGGTAAAAGACCCAGTCATCTGATGATATAATGTAAGTCCCTGCTTATAGTGTCTCTGGTTTTGAAATTGATTTTATGGGGCCAGCGTTGTGGCATAGCAGGTTGAGTTGACGCCCTCAATGCTGACATTCCATAAGCACACAGTTTAAGCCCTGGCTGCTTCACTTCTGATCGAGCTCCCTGCTAATGGCCTGGGAAAAGCAACTAAGACAGCCCATGTCCTGGACCCCTGCACCCATGTGGGAGATCTGGAGGAAGCCCCTGGCCTTTGTGACCATTTGAGGAGTTAACCAGAGGATAAAAGATATTCTTTTATCTGTCTCTCTCAGAAGCTCTGCCTTTCGAGTAAATAAATAAATCTTTGAAAACATTTTGTGTAAAGCAAGATCACACAGATTACTCATGAAGGATTTAGGAAAGTAGTTTTCCAAACAACTGAATATTGTATTGGGTAAAAGTAGTGACAGCCTCTTCCAGCTTGGCCAGCTTGACACTGACTCTTGCTCTTTACCCTTTAATCGGCAGATATAAAATCAGCTTGCATTCACACCTTTGTAGAAGACTTTTTTTTTTTTTGCCTTGAGTAAAAGAAATCAATGTTGGTTTCCCCTTTTTAGTTGTTGTTTTAAAGTACACTGTTTATTTTACTGTAATGTCTGTAAGTCTGAGGGAGATTAGTAGGGAATGTGCGCAGAAGTCAGATTCTGTGTGGCTGTGCTGAATGTGGGGAAAAATCCCTCAAATTTCCTGAGCTATTTATCCAAGGAGGGAGAAAAAGAAAGGTTTTTGGTTCAAACAACTGGAAATATGGCACTGCCATCCAGTGAGGTGAGCATCCACATTGAAGGAGCGGGTTAGGAAGAGGAGGGGATTTGGAGTTTTGGTATATCTGTCTTCCTACCCTGGATGTAGTATGAACAGCTACAATTCTGAGCCAACTCTCTGTATGTTATCGTATAGGAATTCTTTTGTTGTAACTGTAAAGTGTATAATGTATTTACTCTTTAAATTTTCTTCTTTTGAAACAATGACAGTTATCAAATTTCTTTTCTAACAGAAAATTCCTGTTTTAAGAATTTATAAACTAAGACATCAACACATTGTTTTAAATTTTAAAGTAAGGTTGATTGCTAACCTTTACAAAATACTATTTAAAACCTGTGAGATCAAAATGACCATTTTCTGGACACAGCCAAAAATATGAAATTCTTAAAAGTAATTGGAAAGTATGTTGCACAATCTCTTCATCTTATTTTGTTGCGTAAATCAATACTTACATGACTCAGTTCTAGTAGATTTCAAAATAGAATGAAAATTGGAGGTCCTTGATTGTAAAGGGTCTGAACTTCATTTACTGAGAGATGTTAAAATCTTTCAGGATTTTTTGTACCCCCTATTCTGTCTCTTCTGAGAGAAGTGTGTTTTTCTTACCTTAGAAATGGAATCTATCAATTTTTCTAGCTGTTATGTGTCACATCTAATGCGTGGACATTGAGTATACTTTTTGAAGTAATGATACTTTGAGGAAAATGGTTGTTAACATCTTTCAGACATATTGACTTAAATGTGTTCAATATTTTATTGAAAAAGGTTGTTTCATTTGTTTCACTCTGTTTAGAAAAGGAAGACCAGTGTCTTATGCCTGAAGCCTGGAATGTGGACCAGGGAGTAATTACCAAACTCAAGGAACAGTACAAAAAGGAGAGAAAGGGGAAAAAAGGGGTGAAGAGTAAGTGGAAAACATTGTATCCTTAAATTGTAAATCTTGCCTCTTTTTCATCTCCATTTTTTTCAATGTTTTCCTAAAACTGCTTACTCTGTTTCATTTCTGTTTCTGACTTCTCTCCTGTTCACCTGTTCAGGGGTTGAAATTAAGTGGTTAGCTACTCGATTGTAAGCTTTAATAATAATAATAATAAAAAAATTCCTTACTTATGACTGTGAATCAAATTATCCTAGTAGCAAAATAGCTTAATAAGTGTTGGTCCATGAATTCATGGACGATATTTTGAATATTTAAAATATATATGCTTAATTACAATGTTTATATTCATTGCAGTTTTTACATCTCATGTAGCATTCCCTTTGGCAATCCACAAGAATTGTTTCTTACAATTTTAGATCTTGGAGACATAAAGAAAGTTAATTTCTACCCCTGAATATTTTTTATTTACAGTACACAGTTCATTTGCTCTCACCACTGTATGTTATACAGGGCACAAAGTCAAACACATAACCTTTAAAAGTATTATTTTAATGCAAAAAAAACTAATGTAAAAATTTGATCAGTTCATAAAAAATATGACCAATTACATTTTTTGTCTATTCAATGAAATGTGTTGACACATTGAAAACAGAAGCCAAAATTGGATTTTTAGCCCTGTGAATCATATATGTAGAACTTTACATTGCGCATATTAGTAAAGTTTAGTATAGATCTGGTTAAGTATTTAAAATAGAAACATGGAAGTTTCCAAAACATCTTTTATGGGAGCATCTTTTATAGAAGAGTCAGATTCAACTACCTCCTTGTTGCTTCTGCCCCCATTGGTGGTATGAACATAAATCTCCCTTTTTTTGTTATAGGAGTTTCATCTTTCAGTAATTGAAATATTATAAAGCTAGATTTTGAAAATCTAATCTAAAAACAATCTAACCTAGTGAGAAATGTGTATGTATTTTAAAGTAGCAAAAGACTTTGGAAAGATATACTTTTCTTAATGTTAGCGTCAAGGTTTATCAAAAACCAGTCGTTCCTGTTAGGAAATTCTTTTACAACTTGTTAGTTGCTTAAAAACAATTATATTTTTATTTAAAATATGTTAAATTAAAAATTCCTTATCTTGAGTTAGTAAAAATGTCCGTTGTATATGTTAACATCATAGGAAAGCTGCACCATAAAAGGTGCCATTGTCTGCCTCACTGTTAATTATATCAGAACAAGAATGAGGAATATTAGAACAAAAGAACATTTTTTTGTACCTTTTATCCAGTGTGATAAAACAGGTAATCTTAACAAATACAGTGGGAAATGTCTTGTCATGACTTTTTTGAGAAATGACAAAATCAGTTTAACTGGGACTTTGAAGTTTGTTTGGGTATCACACACAAAAAAAAGTTTCCCAATTCAAGCCAGTGCTCATGTATATATTTTTAGTTCATTGTACTACAAAAATTGGTTTTGAAGGTAAAAATTGACTGATAGAAAAGGGTAGCCAGGAGCTATATAGAATCTATTTACTCTTCTATTGATTATTCAGTGCTTTTCAAATATCAGTGTATTATTGTAGTTGGAATTTAGCACATAAGGTGTAAAACTGCACCATTTGACTGGAAGGTGTTCTTGTTAATGGAAACAGCTAAGTTTTCTGAATCTGGGAATTCTGGTCCATTTTTAGGCATATACTACATAGTTTTTATAGGACAATGAAGAATGTCCCTAGGAAACAAAGTTTGACCTCTTTCACTGAAGATAGATTGTAAAAAAAATTTGACTACATTTTATCTTGTTATTTGTGTTCATGTTATTTCAATTAAAGATACCAGCCTGAGAACAAGTGAAGGCTCGTAATAGTAGAACTGAGGCAAAGCTTTAAATTAATACATGAAGCATTCACTTACAAACTACGATATACATCTTTTAATTGATTTGTTAATCATAAGAAAGGTTTGAGTCTTTTTAATATGATCTAGTTGAAGTATTTCCAGTCAAATTGTGTATTCCAGTTATACTAGAAATACGTTTCTAGCTATTAGTTAAAATTGCTTTAAAATAGTTGTATTCTTTGGTGGTGTAGGAAAATCCATAACGTGCTATGGGTAAGATTTTCCCATTCTTAATTAAACTTGTAACAGGAAAAACTACCGAAGATCTGTTTCAGCCTCTATCCTATATAAAACAGTCAAAACAGGGATGTGGGAGAATGAAGAATCGAAGCCCAGGTAAGGAATTGGCAGGGCATAAGGCTCCACCTCGGGTATGATTCCTTCAAGACGCAAGGCAGTTCATGCAGCTTATCTCCAACAGCAGTGTTACTGTTCAGACTCAGGTCAGAGCAGGCTCGCAGTCTGTTAGCAGCCTTCATTAAGGTGGTAGACAAAGTCTGTATTATAGACCAATATTACTTGTGTGGTCCACATGAACAGGAAGTACTTTTTAAGGCAAATTGATATTCCCTTATGTTAATTATAAAAATACATGTAAAATATAATTACTTATAGGAAATAGTAACTTTTTAAAAGAGTCTGCAAATTTTGAAAATAAATATTTTTCATTAATCCAGTAGGATGTTTTTAAAGATAAATGTTGACGTGTGAACTATATTTATTGTACCATTTTGATGCAGTGGAATAATTCTATTTCCTCTTTTTTTCCCTTCTCCTACCTTTTTTTTTTTTTTGGATAGGGCCCAATAGGTCAAAACTACAAGATATGCTTGCTAATTTGAGAGATGTTGATGAACTTCCTTCATTGCAGCCATCTGTGGGTTCACCTTCCAGACCTAGTAGCTCCAGACTTCCTGAACATGAAATTAATAGGGCAGATGAAGGCAAGTATTTTACATCCCTTGTACCTCAGCAAGCACGTGACGGGCAGCCCTCAGTAAAGTCATCAGAGAGGACTCCCATATTTGAGAATTTAATTCTGCAATTGTTTGATCCACATGAATTTTCCCACATGCAAGTTTAATTTCAATTTCAGTCTTCAAAGTAAGGGTAGGGCCATATTGCTGACTTTGAGACTCAGGAATATTTAAGCAGTTCATCCTTGATACATGGAAACAGAGGGGAAAAAAATCACTTGAAAGTTTAATCACGTCTTCTGCCTTCTTTTTTTCTCATTTCCTCCTGCCACCTCCTCCCCTTTTTAAGATGAATTTATACTAGAAAGTCAGATACACAGAGAGCAGGAGAGACAGAGGAAGACCTTCCATCCCCAATGGCCGCAGTGGCCAGAGGGGGCCGATCCAAAGGCAGGTCCCTGGAGCTCTTCCCGGTTTCCCACACGGGTGCAGGAACCCAAGGCTTTGGGCCATCCTCCACTGCTTTCCCAGGCTGCAAGCAGGGAGTTAGACGGGCAGTAGGGCTGCCAGGATTAGAACCAGCACCCATAATTGATCCTGGGCATGCAAGCGAGGACTTTAGCTGCTAGGCTATCACACCAGTCCCTTTTAAATAAGAGTTATTTATTTTTATTGGAAAGTCAGATTTACAAAGATAAAGAAAGACATAGGAAGTCTTCTCTCTGCTGGTTCACTCCTCAAGTGGCTGCAATGCCAGAGTTGACCTTATCTGAAACCAGGAGCAGGAGCTTCTTCCTGGTTACCCTCTACTTGGTCTGTCCTCTACTGCTTTCCCAGGCTACAGTAGGGAGCTGGAAGGGAACTGGAGCAGCTGGAATATGAACTAGCACCCATATGAGATCCTGACACATGACAGGCGACGATTTAGCCACTAGGCTACAGCACCAGACCTGTAGACACAAGCTTTGAGTTTACTTATAAGGATATAAAGTACTTATGGGTTAAAATTGATTTTTTAAATAATCTTTTTAAGATTTTTTTTGAGAGTCAGTGTGACAGAGAGAATGAGAGTCAGAGAAGTTTTCCATTTCCAAATAGCCAAAGGCAGAAACCAAGATCCTTATTCAGCGTCCCACAAACGGGTGCAAGAGTTGAAGCACTTGGACCGTCCTCCATTGCTTTTTCCCAGGGTATTAGCAGGGAGCTGCATCAGAAGTGGAACACTCAAGACTTGAAGCAGTGTCCATATGGTATGCCAGTATTGCAGGGGGCAGTTTTACCACAATAGCATCCTGAAAATTGATTTTACAGTGTACATTTCTGTTAACTGAAAATCCAAGATCGCAAGAAAATATTTTAATAAAAAAATTTTCAAGCTTCATTTAAAAAATTGCCTTGATCTGAAATCCTGGAAGTATTTACTATGTGTATAACCATTCAAATGATTGTTCATGGAGCAAAACAGCACAAGAAAAAACCATGGTATAATCAAAAATGTTTTTCTTTTAGTAAGGTTCTTGAATTCAGATGTATTTTTAAAAACAGATAAAGCGAAAAAACGTTGATTATAGATTTTCATGTTGGATACTTTTTCAGTGAAATCGCCGATGCATTAGTAATCGGTTGTTAGAGTTCGCATTGGCGTACTTGGGGTGAATTGTTAGGCCGTGCTGTCCATGGAGTTTGTTGGAGGAAGGCTCGTGTCTGAAGAAATCCTGGTGCTCGGGCCTGCTGTGGCTCAGTGTGAGGAAACAAAACTTAATCCGTTTCATGTATTTGAAGATTAGACCTGGATAGGGGGGAAAAAAGTAGCTTTTTTCTTGTTCTCAGAAGGAGCTTTTCAGAGGTTTTGTCTCAGATTATGCATAAATTTGGCAGAGTTCTAATAAGAAAATGGAGTACTACGTTCTGAGTGACACATAGGCAAAGGCGTAATACAAGCGAGAAATGCCTTTAGTAGAAAAGTTTTGGAAAATCTGAACCTTAAAGCATTAAATGTTTCTCTTCCTTCTGCAGGTTTGGTCCTTAGCCTCATGCCTTAATGCATATTTCTCCGAAGTAGAAAGAGCATTCAGGAACTAGATTGTGGGTTTGATTGTATATAATTGACACTTCCTGGTCGCTAGTGTATGTTCAGGAACACCTCCCATAGGCTGTGTATACCGTGTAATTCTATTACTTTAGTTTGAATAATTCAAAAAGCAATGCCCTGCTGAAGAGGCAGTTAAATAATTTTTAAAAGCTCCTTTGGACCAATAGTGTTTAGTTGCCTAATAGAGTTTAAGGTTCCTTAGGAAGCAGTCGAGTGACACTGATGTCCATTGTTGCCTTCTCTTCACTTCGAGTCCCAGTGTTCTCTGATGTGTGAGGAGGCAGCTGCTGCCATCCTTATTTTGAAGTTTATGTAGTGGTTTCTAAAATTTTAGTTAAAATTGACCCACACAATGTGTATGTTGAATTTCAGGATCCTTAATTTTCTGTAGTCATTTTTATTTCAAAACAAGAGTTATCTGGAAATCTTAGAAATGAAAGCAAAGTAAGAATTGGACAAGCATGTATTGTTGCAGCACCAAATTAATAACCTTAATAACCTGCCCATTTTACCACTAGTTGGTCAAGAAATAGAACGGTCCCCAGACTCTACAAGTCCTGGTTCTCATCATCCTTTCCCTGCCCTGAGCTGATGCTGGTTTGTAGCACTACATACTAATTCTGTCCCATAATGGTGCACTGCAATTTTAATGATTTTTATTTGGAATTTTCTGTATTCTTTCAAAATTAACCAATGTTAATTTTAAGAGACTCGCAGTGCCTGCAGTGACTTTTATATATGTTTAGTGAATGTTACAGCCTGTTTGAGTAATTAACGTAGAATTTCAAATGAGGAAAACTTGCTTTCCTTTTCATATTGCTTCCTTCCTTTCTCTCTCTCTCTTTCATTCATCTTACTTAAAGATTTACTTATTCGAAGGTTAGTTACAGAGGTAGAATGGAGAGGGAGGGAGGGGGAGAGAGAAAAGAGCAAAGGAAGCAAAGAAAGAAGAAAGGGAGAAAAGAATGATAAATAGAGAGATCTTCCAGATAATTGACTTCCCAGGTGGGCACAAAAGCCGGTGCTGAGCCAGGCGCTTCATCCTGAGCTCCTGAGTGGGTCCCAAGGACCCACAGACCTGGACCGTCTTCCGCTGCTTGTAGTAGATGGTTAGTAGGGACTGGATTGGAAGAGTAGTAGCTGGTCACTAACCAATGCCATGTGCGATACTGGTGTGGCATGTGCTAGCCTTGTGTTACTTTCTGTATAGTGCAGAGAGAAGAAAAATTAATTATTGTATTTGTTTTTCTAATTGGATGATCCCTTTAGCTGTGGTTAAGGTATGAAAAAAGCAATAAATTTCTTAGATTTTTTTTGTTCACTGAATTTTTTTTGTTTAAAAGCATTTTATAATAACTGAATGTATACATGCCCTTGTAAGAAATTTGTGCAAGCAAATGAGTCTAAAGTGTTGTCTCATCAGAGGAATTTTATGTTTCCTTTTAGTGGAAGCATTAACATTTCCTCCTTCTTCTGGAAAATCATTCATCATGGGAGCGGATGAAGCGCTTGAAAGTGAACTGGGACTTGGAGAGTTAGCAGGCCTTACAGTGGCCAACGAAGCTGATTCACTAACTTACGATGTAAGTAGTTATTTTTCATGAATATAGAAATGATTTTTCATGAATATAGACATAGAGCTTGGTTCAGTTTTAGTTGTAAATCTTAAACGTTGCTTTTGTTGCTTTAAGTCAGCCGTCATTTCTGCTGCTGGTCCTTTAATGGTGGTTTGACTCTTTTCTAAAATTTTATTTATGATTTTGTTGTCAAAGTTTGATTTTATCTTTAATTAAATTTCTTCAAATTGTTACATCTTTTTAAATAAGAGACTGGTAGAATTATGATTCCTTATGAAGGACTACACCACTGTAGTAACATGGGGAAAATCTGTCGGCGGGTGGGAGTTTGCGGGGGAATCCCAGTCTATACAAAATTGTACCACATAATTCAAAATAAAAATATAAAAAAACAAAATCATTACATCTTTGTGACTATATTTTCATTCTTAGCTATGTACAGATTTTGCACACTCTTTGTCAATTTAAAATTTCCTGCAGCATTTTCTTGCCTTTTCAAGTGTATATATGTGTATATAAATCATATACATATTATATAATCATAATTATTTAAGTTATACATGCACATATGCATATACACGTGTGTATACATACACATTTCATTTAAAAAGCAGCCTCATAGAGATCAACAGAGAGGTGTTTTAGCTCTTAGAGTGAATGACGACCAGGGCTGGGTCGTGCTGAAGTCAGAAGCCTGGAACTCCATGCAAGCTGCCAGTGTGGCTAGCAGGGCTCGAAGTCCTTGGGCCATCTTCTACTGTTTCCCCAGGCAAAGTAGCAGGGAGCAATATTCATGGAGCTAAAAATTAAAAAAAAAAAAGTGGAGAACCAACAATTTAGGGAAGAAAGAAGGCTAAGGTCCTGGGAGAACACAGCCTGCAGGGGTGAAGCCAATGTTGGAGTGTTTTTCCCAGCCGTGTTTTGCAGGGCTGTGTGTCGCCAAGGAATAGGAACTGATAGAACCTACCAGGCAGCTGAGGAACAACTGGGACTCAAATCAGCACCCTGTTACAGGATGGGCTCCCTCTGGTCTTTTTGATCCTAGTAAGCCTGATTATTTCTAAGTTGGAGACTGTATTGCTGCTATGTCTTGTTTCCTGTTTATTTACACTGCAGTCCCTATGTGCAGTTTTTTTTTTTAATGTCTAAATAATTCTATTTGGCAAGCTATTTGTAGAAATAGCCTTAGACCTAAGGTGATATCTTCCTCTAGACAATCTATTCATTAACCCTTTTTCAGCAGTCTATATCCACTAAAAATCTGTGATCAGTTTCCTCCAGTTTCAAAGCTTGAGATGATCCGAGCCTGACCTACAGTCTCTGACAGCGCTTGTTTGGGATGCAGCTCTTTGAAGCTGTTGCTAAAGCAGTGCAGTACACCATGCCTCAGTTTCCTGGTAGTTGGAATGAAAGCCAAATTTTTGCAGTTGTTGAGATTCAGTTGTATTTGCTTTACCAGTGGAATATTGTCTTTAGATGTTTGATTGTGTATTCTATTTGTAACAGTCTCCATTTCCGCTCTGTAAACCTGGTTTCTAACTTGATGTAGAAAATTATCTTCTATTAAAAAAAATTTTAAAAATTTCAACTCAAGTATGATCATATTCTAAAATCTTAACTTGTTTAAGGGTAACTTAGTTATTTAATTCCTACCCAAAGTTATTCTTTCTGTACTATATAATAGTTTGAATTACTTGTTTTTTAAAGTATTGTGATGATAATCTGTTTTGCATTATGACTTGATTCACTTTGTATATTGAATTATATTCACTTTTCTTGTTACAACTGTCATATTTCTTCAAAGAAAACTTGCTAATTTTGCATATTGAACTGGTTATTTACATTAAAAATATTGTTTTGAAAAAATGTTTTGAAAGTTGCAAGAAGTGATGATTTAACGGCAGATCTATAAGAAGTAATGTTAATAGATGTTTTTGCATTATCTTGAACTAAATATATAAGTATCTTTGTTTCATTTCTTTAATAGATAGCAAACAATAAAGATGCATTGAGGAAAACATGGAATCCCAAGTTTACATTACGAAGTCACTTTGATGGCATTCGAGCCCTTGCTTTCCACCCTATTGAGCCTGTTTTGATAACAGCATCAGAGGATCACACATTAAAAATGTGGAATTTGCAGAAAACAGCCCCAGCCAAAAAGTAAGAATATTCTATTTTTGAGTATTTTTTAAAAAAGATTTGTTTGTTTGAAAGGCAGAAAAGAGTTGCTTTTCCATCCTTCCAGGGCTGGGCCATGCAGAAATCAAAAGTCAGCAGCTTTGTCCAGGTCTCCCATGTTGGTGGCAGGAACTCCTGCCTCTCAGGCACGTTAGCAGGGAGCTGGGTTAGAAGCAGAGCAGCCAGGACATGAATCAGTTCTCTGGTTATAGAATGTGGGTGTTGCAAATGGCAGCTTATATCACTGTGTTGCCAAAGCACGTGCCCTTACATACTGTATTACTTGCTAGGATGTCCGAAATATCTCATTCGGGTTACTGTGTCATTCAGTTTAGAGGTTTTTTCGTGCAATTTAATGTTGGGTTAGAAAACTGATACTTAGGAAAAAATGGAGAAAAATATTGAAACAAATTTCTTGCTGATGCTCGTTTATTAAGCCATACCTTCACATGTAAATAATAGTGGCCTGTTTAATTTTGAACTTAAAACTTGGAAATAATTTTAGGAAAGAAGGCGTATATCTATAAAAACCGCCATGCTATATAGAAAATGATAAGTATGTGTTGTACTTGGCTTCAAACAGTCACAACCACTCTTAGTGTGGTGTGCCCATGTCGGTGTTTTGAGTATGAATAAGCTGTGACTTTGTAGTATCAAGGTAGGCATATTAATGTCTTTATAGGAAAACAAGGAAATTATCAAGTACTTTCTTGTAGCAGGCCTTCTATGTGCACAGTAGGTCCTAGGCTGTTTAATATTGTAGAATATCATTTAAAATTGTTGGTATTTAGAATTATCCTCAGTTTTCTGTTCTATTTTAATTATAGGGTAATATGAGGTTCTAAAAAGATCAAATAACTGGCCCCGGCACGGTGGCCTAGTGGCTAAAGTCCTCACCTTGAACACACTGGGATCCCATATGGATGCCGGTTCTAATCTGGGGTGCTCCACTTCCCATCCAGCTCTCTGCATATGGCCTGGGAGAGCAGTCGAGGAAGGCCCAAATCCTTGGGACCCTGCACCTGTGTGGGAGACCTGGAGGAAGTTCCTGGTTCCTGGCTTCAGATTGGTGCAGCTCTGGCCGTTGTGGTCACTTGGGGAGTGAATCATTGGATGGAGGATCTTCCTCTCTGTCTCTCCTCCTCTCTTTATATCTGACTTTCCAATAAAAATTAAATAAATCTTAAAAAAGAAAAAAGATTAAATAACTTGCCTGGAGTTAGTGATGCAGTTGAAAATCGAATTCAGAAATCCATCCCTTCAAAATCCTGTTGTTTCTCTTGAGCAAAGCCTTATCTCAACTGGACATTTTGACAGTCCTAAAATCACTGTTCTGTTGTACAGTACTACTGCTGAACAAGGAGTTTTGATTCTTCATGTTATAAAAATGTGATTGGTATTGGGTAAGCTTGTTTTTGTATCCTGGGATTGGGAATGGTATATTATCGTAGTATTTGTAATTTCTAAAGAATTTAATGATGGGCTCAGTGATAACTGTTTGCTGCTGAAACTTTAGGTGATTAAAGTGTTTTTTCTCTCTGATTCAGGAGCACTTCTCTGGATGTAGAGCCTATCTATACATTTAGGGCTCATAGGTAAGTATACGCTTTCTCTTTATTTTATGCCAGTTGTCTGCAAGATATTTTACTTATGTGTCTGTTTTTTTTAATTTAGTAGTACATTTTTGTAAATGCTAAAGAAGCTGACAGATAATGCTGAATGCAAATTTATTATAAAATTAGAAATTCCTACTAAAATTGGGTTTTGTATGTTTAAATAATATGTGTGCATTTATTAAAGTAAAATTGAGGTGAATGGATTTTAAACATTAGAAACCCATACTTTGTTTTTTCTTAAAGATGTCTTAGATAACCTAGATACAAATATGGAAAGTTGGTTTTGTTTATTGGAATTGCACATTATATGCTTAACCTATTTAAACTTATGGGATAATAAATATCTTTTAATTTTTATAGGTCATATATTTACTGTTGCGTAACCTCATTTTAAATTTTTTTACAATCCTTCAAAAAATGTAAAGAGGTTCTTAGTTTGAGGACTGTGTACAGGACTCATAGATTGGATTCGACCTGTTGGACTGTAGGTTATAACCATTGACTTAGCAGAGAAAGAAGAATGAAAAAAATGCCTTAGTGGTATTTTTATTGATTATAAAGAGAAAAACCATTTGAATGATTAAACATCATTAGTTTTAAAGTTAGGCATATTATCAAATTGACTTTTAATATAATTTTTTTGTCTCCAGAGGTCCTGTTCTTTGTGTTGTAATGAGCAGCAATGGTGAGCAGTGTTACAGTGGTGGTTCTGATGGACTAATCCAGGGCTGGAATACCACTAATCCCAACATTGACCCCTATGACTCATATGGTACGTGATTTCCCAAAAGTCTGAGAGAGTAAAATGTTTTCTTTTTATATGTTTTTTCATAGTATCTATAGGTTATGTATACCTTAATTCATTATGGTTCTATGTTTGGAATCAGAAGTATTTTAGATGTTGGAGTTTTTTTCCCCCTGTTTTGTAATACTTGCTTTTGCATAATAAGATATCCTGGGGAATGGGGCCCATATTTAAACACTAAGTTCATTTGTGTTCAGCATCCACTTATCTTTATTATGCCACTGTTTTGATTGTGACCCATCTCAAGAGATCAGAGGATTTTTTCATTTGTGGAGTAATGTCATTCAGACTATAAACATATAATTAGATATTTTTGAAAACTAATAGGTGAAAGAATTATTTTTGTTGTTGTTAAAAAATAGATAACGATATTTAGGAATCAGTATAATGTGTGAAGAAAAAAAAGTCATACTACCAGAGGAAATGGTTCCTACTCCTCAGAAACTTGCTAGTTGGAAGTGCTAGCTTGACTGACTGTGGCTTTCCTTTTAGGCATCTCTACAGTCCTTGATACCTTATTAGCTTATAGTCCTCTTTCATCGCCACCCTTAACAAATGACTTTGAAGGAAAAATAAAAGTTGGGGCAGTCATCATTTGATCAATTATTGGAGGAATAGGGAGGCCTATCACTTTAGAAGTTCAGGACATCCAAGCCCTTAAAATACTTAAAATGTCTGAAAAGTTAAGTGTCTTGTATTTTTTAGAACAGTCTCATAAATCATAAATCTATGTTATATCACTAAAATTTCCCTAGCTTTCTCAGGGTCATATTTGCATCGCTTCATTATCAGTATAGACTAATTTTGCACCAAACCTGAGTTGAGGTAAAAAATTTAATAAAAATTTCTTCTAATATTTACTTATCTGAAAGAGTGAGGATGAGAACATCATGGTTGTAAGCTAGTCAGGTAAGAGACGAAGATAGGAAACAGGTGTGGAGAGAGAGAGAGGCTCTTCCTTCCACTGGTTCACTTCCCAAATGGCTGCAACAGCTGTTGTAGGGACAGACTGAAGCCAGGAACCAGGAACTGCACTCGGAACTCTCATGTGAGTGGTTACAGGCCAAGCACTTGGGCCATCCTTTGCTGCTTTCTCAGGCACATTAGCAGGGAGCTGGATCAGAAGTGAAGCAGCCAGGCCATAAGCTGGTGTTCATTTGGGATGCTGATGTGGCAGAAGCAGGCTTACCCTCTGCGCCATGATGCTGACCCCACCCTCCTCTGGCAAATTTGTTTTACTGACTTCTTTTTTTTTTAATATTGTATTGTCTGTGTTCCCTGTGCTTCGTAAAATCCCTTTAAGTAGTTCTCTCAACTTAAATATCTGCATTTATCATGGCTCTAACTCATTCTTTGTAGTGTACTAATATTCTTTGGGAGATTGAATCTCTTTCTGTGGCTTTATATACTATCAAATCACTGATGCCTACAGGAAATTTCAGATTGCTGCTTTCATTGCCTATAAATTCCAGCAGATTTTGTGTTTCTTCATTCTTTTTAGTTGGTAGAACCACTAGAATTACCCAAGCAGAAACATGAGGGTGTTACTTTGATTTTTTTTCCTCTAACATGTTTTCTGTAACTTGTTAATTATCTTTTTATATGATTCCCTAAGTATTTCTTGAATTTGCTGTGGCTTTTTACCACAAATACACATATGTGTATGTATATGTGTAGAATAATGTTTTCATCACTCTTCCAGTGTACTGATCCAGTCCCCTTGCTTTGGTCTGATTCTTCTGTACTACAGCTATGCTTGTCTTATTAAATACTTACCCTCACTGCTCTTTTTAGGTTCCTGTCACTTCTGGGATAGCTTCTAATTCTCTTAACGTGTCATAGAAATTCCACCATGAACTTACGTTATTCATCTCCTATATTTCCTGTTTCACACTCCTACATGACAGTAATACTGAAATTGCTTAGAACTTTCTTTTCCTATTATTTTATTTTTCCTGTTGTGTTTCATAGGTGTTGGCCTCCTTGCCAGGCACACCTTCCTACTTTCTGACTAGCTGACACCTATATATTATGTGTCATACGCTCCAAGAAGTTGCCACTCATCCTGGTTACCTTCCATGTTAACTGTGTGTCACTTGTGCCTCCTCCCAGTGTTACTCTGTCAGGGCAGGGGCAGTGTTGTGTCCTCGTCACTGTGTGATGCAAACGTTAGTCACAGTGCCTGGTGCACATTTGATGGTAGATCTGAGAGGAGGGAAAGGCATTTCCAAATTTAACTCTGTGACCCATCTTGAAAAGTCAGTTCTTAGAATCCTTGTGAAGTTTAATAATGAAATTTTCCGGAGAAACTTTTTCATGAGGCTATGCTAACTAACTCCTCAACTTCCTTCCCCCTCTTCTCCCCATACACATGATCTACATTTCAGTTGTTGTTTGAAGACTTGGGGATTCCTGTACCTCTCAAGTCCTCCTCACTGCAGGTGTCATGCTTCCAGGCATGATTGCCATATTCATTGTAGAGCAGGATAAGTGGCCAGGAGGGTTCAAGGCCACAATGTTGCAAGTGTTCAGAGGAGGGAAAAGCTTCTTAACTTCTCAGGGAATGCAGTTAAATCCAAATGCTGTGTATTGACTGTCTTAAAAATATAGACAAGAGGAAGAGAAAAGGAAATACCTGCCTTTTTTACATTTGTGTATTTCCGAGCCACTCCCCCACCCCCCCTTTTTTTTATTACTGCAGGATCTTAGAGTAATAATAAACTTGGAAACATTCTTCACAATTGTCAGATGCTTTTATTTATACATTTTATTTTCTTTGCATTCTAAGTACCTTGATAATTTGAGTTTTCTCCTCCCAATTTTGCAACTTGTTGCGTTTTCATATAGATCCTTCTGTTTTAAGAGGACCTCTGTTGGGCCACACGGATGCAGTGTGGGGTTTGGCCTACAGTGCAGCACACCAGCGTTTGTTGTCCTGTTCAGCAGATGGCACTCTGAGGTTGTGGAATACAGCCGAGGCGGCTCCAGCATTGACTGTATTTAATGATAATCAAGGTATAGGCTTTTCAAGATTATTTTACAAAATATTTATGAAATATACTGAAGACAAGCAAGTGATTCTGTGAACTTACTGTTAATTATGCTCTAAATTCTTAATGTCTCCTAAGTTGTTTTGCGTCCTTTCCAGTCAGTTCCTTCTCGCTGTTACCAGTTAGAGGTCCTCACTTTTGTGATTTCTTTTAGTCGTAGGTTAGTATTAGCTCTTCTCTTCAAGTCAAATATGTATTGAAATTTGTGAAATGTATTGAAATTGAAATGTGTGAAATAGTACAGTATATATTTTATATCAGACATTTTACTGACTATAATGTTTCTGTAATTCATCTGTGTCATAACAGTTTGTTTTTGTTGATTGCCTGATATTCTTTCACTAAGCTGTAATTTTGTCTGTTCATTTACCTCTTGATGGACATACAGGTTATTCCCAGGTTTGGGCTAGTAACACACCTGCTGTGGACATTCATATATTTTTGATGCAGATGGGTGGGCACCTAGAAGTATAACTTCTGGACTTTGCAGTGGGTGTTTATGTTTTGGAAAATTGTGAGAAAAAATTTTCCAAAGTGACTGTGGCATCTTTTATCACTGATGGCAATGTATGAGAGCTCTGTTGCCCTTGATGCTTATCGGTATTTGCTATTATAAGTCTCTTTTAACAATTGCCACATACTTGTCTGTATTCTTTGATAAAATACATAATTTGAGATCTGCATGATTAACAGTTAATAAAAGTATGCATGTTATATAAATAAAAAAATATCCACCATGGTTTTTCATGGGGTTTGGCCTCACACATGCGTTCTTTGAGCATATTAGTTGAATTATAGGTAGAACATCTGCTTAACTGATAGGGATAATAAAATAATCTAGAGTTAAAAGTTATAAAAAGTTGTAAGTATAATCCATTGGTTGGGTATGAATTAATTCTTAATCTGATAAAAAGATTTATTTCTTAAAGAAATCTTGTCATGATCTGTAATGCTAGATTTTAAGCATGTTTAAAATTAAATCCTTTAATTGTCATTCTTTTGTTTGTTTTTGGTCTCTTTTAGAATTAGGAATCCCTGCTTCTGTGGATCTGGTAAGCAGTGACCCAAGCCTTATGGTAGCATCATTCAGCAAAGGGTACACCAGCATCTTTAACATGGAAACACAACAACGCATTCTTACTTTAGAGTCCAGTCCAGATACAAGTACGTACACTACTTTCAAATAGATTTTATCTGAATCAGTTTTTAATTTAAATTATAAATAGTAGAGTCAACAATGAGAAGTACTTGTGATTATGAAGTTGTCAGCTTTCTGCGTCTCAGAGCACAGTTACTTAAAAGGATATAATGCTTTACATTTGATTTTAAGAATTTAGATTAGGTTTATAACAGTACTATTTACGATAGAATTCGCACTATTCCAAAGAGGACTTCAGCTTATGTTATAACAAAGGATTAACTTTAAGTTTAATTAGGAGAAAGCAATATTTATTCTGCATAGAAAATAAAAAGGGCCGAGCTCTGTGGCTGTTGGAGATGCCTGATGCTTTGGCCTGAGTTGCAGTCTGAGACTCAGTGGAGTGGACTAGGGGTTGCTTACACTTATGAAGGACTGTGCAGAGCAACACGTGCCAGCAGTGGAAGAAAGTCAGATGTGGCACCATGACTTCATTGAGCGTCAAGTTCAAGAGTGTCAGTTGTACCTGGGTTGTTCTCAGCAGCCTCAAGTACCTGTGGTGGATTTTCAGGCAGAAGTTAAACAGGTGTTCTTTCCTTTCTCACAATTAAATGTTTTAAATTACCTGTTTATTATATAACTGACATAACTCGATACTAATTAGAATGAAGATCATATTGCACCTCTTATAATCCCAAATACGAAGCTTTCTGGTGGATACAAGAGGTTAGGAACCAAAATATTTTCTTCGGTTATGAAGAAGATACTGTGGTCCTTTTAAAACTTTTCAACCATCGCTTTCTTTGGTTATGATCCAATCAGTTTAAGTTCCAATTAACAAAGAAAACTACACACATGTGCATTGTTGTTTTAGTCAGAGAGCTATCTTTAATAGTAATTAAACGGGGTGTGTGTGTGAACATCTTTGTGTAAGCAAACATTTGCATGTGTATATACTCATAGTGTGCATCCTTGCATGTGCTGATCTCTCTGCTGCTCTGTCTTAAAACGTCATCTATTCCATTTTGACGGTCTTCATTTTCCCTTTAGAGTCTAGTATACTCTGTGTTTTACTTATTTCTTCCTGATACTCAGAATTGTTTGGGAAAGTAGCATGAATAAAACTTTTACCTGTTTGGATGTTAAAAAAAAGAAAAAAAGTAAGGATCAGAATTATAAATTTTAATAAAGAGATATTTTTCCCCCAAGAAGTACAGTTTTGGGACCAACATTGTGGTGTAGTGGGTGAAACCACCACCTGTGAAGCCAACATCCCAAATAGGTGCTAGTTGAAGTCCTGGCTGCTCCACTTCCAGCCCAGCTCCCTACTACTGGCCTGGGAGCCACAGATGTGAACTCCTGCACCCGCATAGCTCCATGTTCTGCTGATTTCCTGAGCCATTAGAGGGTAGCTGGGTAGATCAGCTGAGCAAGGTGGTAGCACTTTTTTCTTTTCAGAAATGTAACCATCGGACATTCTGAGTCATACTGAAAATATTTCAGAAAACTGCTGAGAATATTTTTAATTAAAACAATGCTTTGAAATAAGTGATGATTATTTTAAAGTATGATTTAAAAAACCTGACATTTCCTGAATGACTGGCTTTTATTACTTTTAGAGTTATATAATACAAACTTAAATTAATCCTTTATTCCATTTTTTACTATGGATTATGCTTTTGCTGTTTATATTTGACTATGATGTTATATTCCAGAATTTAGTAGATTCCTTTTTTTATATATACTTTTAGTTTCTTTGAAAGCGGGGACACACACACACACACACATCTTCCATCTACTGGATCACTCCCTGAAGGGCTATAACAGCCAAGGCTGGGCCAGGCTGAAGTCAGGGTCCTGGAAATGCATCAGGTTCTCCCGCATGGGTAGCAGAAACTCAAGTCCTTGAGCCATCATCCCTGCTCCCCAGATACATTAATGACCAGCTGATTTAGAAGCCAAGCATCCAGGATTGGAACCCTGACTCTAATATGGAATGTGAGATTCCAAGTAGTACCTTGGCTCACTGGTTACTTGACTTTGATAAGTCAAAGGTAGTTGAAGCATATATTGAGTACCTGTAAATCCAACGTAAAGATGAATATTTCTAAGTCATAAGCTAATAACTGGATATTCGGAGGATTGATTGCTTTGCGTTGTTGGAATGGCTTGCTAGGCCTTCAGTTTGTTTTGATATTCTTCGTATATTGCCAACTTTATCTAATTTACCAACAAGTAGAAAAGCTTCCTTAGAAGTCTTACCCAGAGTGAGTTTACACAAAGTGAGTCTTGGTATACTCACATCTCGTACAGGAGTCCTGATTGTGTTTTTGATTCCATCTGCTTGTTGGTGTGTAGCTTGTTAACTCCTAGTTGGCTTCCTACCATTCACATTGGACTCAGATTGAGTTCCTGGCTTCTGGCTGTTGGCTTTGGAGAGGGATGCAACAGATTGGAGATACCTCTCTGTTTGGCTCTCTGTCTTCTTTCTCTCTTCCTCTGCTTTGCAAGTTAAAACAACAATAAAACATTGCCATATAATAAAACTTTCTTTTGTCTGCTTCCATAATTTGATTTATGTCATACTCATTTTCTAAATAAGTGAAGCTACTTTCAGGAACTTTTCTTTCAGAATATATGGAATTTTTCACCTAAGGTATGTCTGGTAACTGTTTTGCTCCAGCTAGATCTTACAAAAGATATTGTTCTGTGATCTGTTATCTCTGGATGAAAAATAGTCATAGTTTGGATTTTGGAATTAGTATCCCCTTGTTTGTTGTTTTTAAGATTTATTCACTTGTTTTGGAAAGGCAGATTCATAGAGAGAAAGAGAAAGAGATCTTCCATCTACTGATTCACTCTCAAGTGGCTGTGATGGCCAGAGCTGAGCTGCGATGGCTAAAGCCAGGAATTAGGAGCTTCTTCCACATTTTACCCATCCACCCTGGGCACATGCAGGATCCCAAGGCTTTGGGACGTTCTCTGCTGCTTTTCCAGGCCACAAGCACAGAGCTGAATGGGAAGTAGAGCAGCCAGGTCGTGAACTGGTGCCCATATGGGATCCTAGAGCATTCACTGTGAGGATTTAGCTATTGAGCCATCATGCCAGGCCCAGGGACTCTACTGGTCTCATGTGGCACCATAGATTGTAAGTGTAGAAAAGGAAATTTTGGTTTTTTACTGCTTCCACATTTATCAGTCTAGTGTATGTGAGACAATTCTCATTTTCTAAGATTGAGATTGTGGAAACAATTGCAGAATAAAACTAAAGACAAAGACAAATTATTTACTTTTTCAGTTTGTTAGATGAATCTTCAGATCTCTTTTGTGTGAAAAAATCCCTGTATTTACTTTATGTTGCTCTTTAATTTTTCCTTTTAGCAGCCAACTCTTCCTGCCAAATCAATAGAGTCATCAGTCATCCTACTCTGCCGATCAGCATCACTGCTCACGAAGATAGACACATCAAATTCTATGATAACAATACAGGTAAGACTTGCCTAAGAAGTGGTTTTTAATCAAGCAAAAGAAGAAAGAAACCCTGCAAAAAAAGGTTGGCTGCTTTTGGTCTGTTTTGTTGGCATCTTGGTTAAGGAATAGACACTCCCTCAATTCAGTGTGTGGTCGTGCCACCCCAGTCTACTGAGGCCAGTCTTTATTATTTACAATAGATGGATTATTTTGGTTTGTTTTGTGGCGAGTAGATGGTTGGAGCCATGTTATCACTTGAAACAAAATGAAAAATTAGTTAAATTGGAAATAAAAGTAGTCTGTTTCTATGGTGCATTGCAGTAATTATGGGAAAATAGAAACATGTTGGAAGTAGAAAGATAGGTTCATTACACATTGTAATAAATTATTGCATAGCCTTATTCAATATTTAGTTACTCAGTTATCAGGTAGCCCTGTTCTGTGTTGCAAATGGAAAATTCAGAGGTCATCTGCCTTAGTTTTCCGAGGGCTAATCTTTCTGTGTTGTAATACTATTTGATCCCAATTGATTTTGAAGTGGAACATGAGGGGTTTTCACAGGGTTTTGGAGTTAATATCACAAATATGAAAGAAATTCATGAAAAGTGTGCTGGGAGGAAAGCACCCTTGTATTTATAGCCATTTTTAACTGGACTGTTACTGTCTTTGTTGACATGATAACTTTTCTTTGTTAATATGTTAACTTGTGCTGGTTTTGCTTAACTGCTAGTGAGAAGTAGTTCCATAGATTAAATCCTTTTCCATGTGTTGTTCCCACTAAAAGTATGACCATGTTTGCGTTTTGTTCCTTTGTCTCATTCTTTGTAAATTTGAACTCTCTTGCTACAACCCATACGATTTGTCCATTACTAAAGTTTGCAAAGTAGGTCATTAATGATACCTGAATTCTAACTAATGGGCATAACTTGAGAGGATGTTTATGCAGAAATTAGTGATTTCCATTTTGTGTTTTAAAAGACAAGCATTTGCAATGAAGGAATCTCAACTGAACTTGAACTGAGGTTATGCAGCAAGGTGGAGGAATCCACTATGGGGGGGAGGAGTGTAGGAAGGGTGGGGGGAATCCCCAGTGCTTATAAAACTGTATCACATAATACGATGTTAATAACAATTAAAAATAAATAAAAATGAAAAAAAATAAAAGACAAGCATTATATATATTTAATTTTTATACATAATATATATACAATATAATTTGAGTTGTTTTTCTTCATTATTATTACCATGACTAGAGGCAAGAGGGAGATACACGATTTAGATGATGTAAAAAAAGTTAATCAACAGAGATGGAGAAACTAATGTTAACATGGTGGCTAATGCATATTCAGGATGCAGAAAATCATCAGTAATGGTTACTCTTTTGTCCAAAGGCAAACTGATCCACTCAATGGTAGCTCACCTAGAAGCTGTTACAAGTTTAGCAGTTGATCCTAATGGCCTGTACTTGATGTCTGGCAGTAAGTACATCAACTACAAATTATTCATTTATTTATTTTTATCATCCTCTTGCAAGTCTGATTTTCCCTTTTCATTTTCTTTTGTTTGGTATAGGTCATGACTGCTCAATACGGTTGTGGAATCTAGAAAGTAAGACGTGTATTCAAGAGTTCACAGCTCATCGGAAAAAGTTTGAAGAATCGATTCATGATGTTGCTTTCCACCCATCCAAATGCTACATTGCCAGTGCTGGAGCTGATGCATTGGCTAAAGTCTTTGTATGACACACTGCATCGTTTTCATCATCTAGCTCTTTATAAATAATTGACTAACTGCACAAAAGAGATACAGAAGACCAGGGCAAGAATCAGCTCATCTTGCCTTTTTGTTCTACTGAAGGAGCACAGAGAACATTTGTTAAAAGCATAGTTTCGCAATTCGTATACTGTTTTCTAAAATTAAAGTTTGTCCAGGTTGCTGCAAGCTCAGTTTAATCTGTGAACTTGAAAACTCTCTCAAATTGTCTCCAAAATAGGCCCTTTTATTTCTGAGGTGGTTCTCATTTGCTAAGCAGGCCTGAGCGACACAGGTTTAGCTTGTCCCTATTGATATGTGGTGTGTTGTAATAGATAATTAAAAAGCTTGGTGGCTGGAAATGAGTAGAGGAAAAGCAGAAACTTAGATCTAGTTCTCCTCTGACAACTCTTACTAAACATGTTAGTCAAACAGTAATCCTTACTCTGTCTGCTGTACTAATGAATCCCTTTGTGTATGATGACCAGGCAGTGTTAAAATTAGCTTACTTTAGCTGTTTGCATAAAGCGACTGGCAAAACATCTTATCTGTTAGAGGAGGAAAATGCAGTAATATGTTACACATATAATTACTCAGAAATTCTGAACAACTAATTAGTTTGTGAGCAGATTTCTTTATTGTATTACAGTTTTGGAAATAGATTTGGCAACATTCTCAAGTTTAGCTGTCAGGCACTCGCCATTATAAATAGTCAATAGAGTCTGCTTTTACTAAAGTATTTAACTTACTCCGATTTGAGATCTGTTTGTTTTTAAGGGCAAGCAGGGCATATCTCTGTAATAATTTCTTTTTTCAAATTTGTTTTATTCCTATGAAGTGGTTCTTATTGATGAATTCTTACCTTTCAGTGACTGAAGGGACGGAAGTTACTACCAGTACTCATTTCTCAGCACCTGCTTAACCATGCTTCTGCTGATCTGTTCTTTGTCTTTCACATTCATGTTATCTGAGACCTACCAAAAGTAATTCATCATTATGAAGTTTTAAGAGTCCAAAGAAAATGGTTAACCTCAGGCAGTTGCTTTTGAAGTACTAAATAAAGGAAATAAAGGATATTAACATATCCAAGAAGAAGAACCTCCTATGAAAGAGTTCCATGACTAACAAGGGCTAAAAGAGTCTCTCTTTCTCTCTCTCCCCCCTGCCCCCAACCTCCATTGTTTAATTGGAATCCATGTTGGAATGCACAGTGCTAAGGCTTCTCTGATCCTACCCTATCTATGACCTTATATTATATGTGGTTTACCTGTGGGATTTCCACAAGCCACTACCTAGAATGAGTCCCTTGTTTAACAGCTGTCATGCCTCTCCTCATACTTTTTCTCTTGTTGGTCTGAAATTGTAGTGAAGAATCTAAAAGTTATAAATAAATTGCTGAAGTTCAGCACTTCACCAAAATTTATAATAGGTTCTCAGACTTTTTTAAAAAGTATACCCGTAAGTATTTAACAGATTAAAGTAATTCTTACATTCCTGTCCTCATATATTCCATTGTCATGGCCATGACACTTATGTACATTTATTCCTGGAAGAAGTACTCTAGTGGTGATGTGGATAATAATTGACAGTACTTCTCTAGTATTTCTGCTTGTCCGCCTCTAGAATTCTGCAGTGTACAGGCAAATTGCCTTAAAAAAAAAAAAAAACAAAAACCTGTGCTCAATTTGCCTGATTGTTGTACAGATATGCTATAGTATTTTAAAACAGCTTCATTTTTATTTAATCTTTGTGCTTTGATTAACAAGCAGGCTTGAACTCCTTTTTCTAATCAGATGAATTGACCTAGATGTGAGCTATGAGGTGAATGTGTGTATTTCTGTGCAAATTGAATATCCCACATTGTGTTTAGTAAATTTCTTTTGATTCTTCACAAAGGGAAGAACAGGTTGTTGCTAACCTAACACTGTAGAAGAATACTGGAAAATCTAGTCAGGTACCCCTCCTTGGTATATTTATAATGGACCACCACAAAGCTATTGTTCTGCCAGTTACTGCTTCAATTACTCTTCAAGGTCTGTAGTGCCTACCTATGTCACTGAATTCTGAAAACCAAGACATTCATTCACTGTTGATTTTATACCTCATGGTTGAAAATTTTCTGTTAGTGAGTGGAAAATAACCATGAATATGCACAATGCATATAATGGAACTGTTGAAAGTTCCTTAGAAAGCCAGTGCTGTATCACTAAAGACTGTACACAGAATGATTTCTTCTCCACTCGTACTGTATGATCTCAGCCTAGAAGTGAACCAAAGCTGTCTTCCAACCAGATGGTAGCATATACGTTTGTCTGACTTTTCCCCAACCTATTGAGCATTCACAAAGCGAACAAATGCAAGATTCAGATAGTCATCAAAATACTTTCATAATGCTTGATTTGTAAATACTTTGGATAAAGTGTTTTAAAATAGTATGAAAATCAGCAGAAAGTATGGGTCCCTGCCTTATTTTCATATGCTATGGATACGTCTCTGGGAGCTTGCAGCACCCTCCTCCACTGTCAAATGGAGCTCATTTGCTACTCAAACCATAGACAGATGTTTAACATAACTGATGTAGTGACCTTCAGTATTTTTCTATTGAACAAGTTTAGCAATTTTTTGGCCATTAAACAAATAATCAGTTATGCAAAGTTATTAGCTTTTATAATCATTTTAGTTACAACTAAAAGGGGGAAATTGAGCTGCACCACTGATAATGAACTTTGTGAAAAAAATTTTTTTTTTGTTTATCTGACTTTCATTCCTTCAGTATTCTTGCTATAAATTTCTTTTGAAGATAATAATGAAGATTTATTTGAAAATGTCTAAAATGTATGTATATTTTATAAATATATATTATATATATTATAGGAATATATATAATATATAGACTATATATATATATATATAAAACCATAGGTGCATTTTACTGTTTTGTATTTTCATTTTTGGAGGTGGTATACACAGCAGAAAATGATGAGTATAATGAGTGTTGTGCTCTTTGCTTTTGCAGTATAATATATAGTTCTCAATGTTTAAATTACTGTATATACTATATCCATTATAGGCTAGCATGCTTGTTTTAAGGACTGTCATTCTAGTTTATTAAAATCTGAATGTAAGAAAACCTGGCTATTCAAATGTGAATTGAAAAATATTCCATTCTCAGTACTGAGCTATTTTCATTGATCATTCAGGCTTTTTAACAATACAAATATCAATAAGAAGGCAATAGCTAGAAAATGAGAGGTGCCTTTATTTAAGGGAAAAAAAGCGAACAACAAAAAACAAATGCAGCCTTACAGTGAGGATGAAGACTGAGTTTGTGTGTGGAGGTGGGAGGGGAAAGAGAGAATGAGAGGGAGAGAGAGAGAGAGAGTGTGTGTGTGTGTGTGTGTGTGTGTGTGCGCGCGCACGCACACGTGTGTGCCAATCTGGTCTTGGTTTGTGACCATCAGTGTCTTTTTAATGTATCTGCCCCATCTCCAGGACTTCAGGGGATATTTCATGCACTGTCTTTCTGCTCCTTTGAGTACCGTATACACCTTCTAAGAACTTTGAGTGTGAATTCCCAAAAATTTCAGTAGAGAGAGAGAGAAAAAAAAGCTATTCATTAACATCAGGTTCAGGTAAAAGGAGAACTTACTGGTTTACCAAACTTGGGATCTCATTAATGTTGGCTAAGTGGGCGTAATTTTTTCAAGTCTCACATTTTTAGTACCTCATATATTTCCCCCTTTCACAAGAACATGTCATAAAAATTTTATATGATGTGATGAGGATTCAACCAGGAAAAATTATTCTTAGATACCTGAACTCATTAAAATTCCACCTAAGAATCTTTCTGAGGATTTCAATGGCATCTCTCATATCTACCTCTTTGTCATTGCTACCGTTTTTACTGAGGAAATCTTCCTGACTTCTGAAGTGATGGTGGGATGCAACTGAAAAACTGATGTTGGTGCTTCATCCTTTGAGTTCCATTGTGTGAAGTGTTGCAAGCCAGACTGAAAGACTTAAAATTTACTTTAGTTTTCTTCTGAAAGAATTATTTAAAAATTACCTTCAGTATTGTTAATCTCTGGTTGGTTGGTGTCAATGTGATGTTTTTCAACCAAGAGTCAAATTTTGTTGAATACACATGGGAAAAGAGTTCTAATTATGATTTTGTTCAGCTTACTTTGTTGTTTAAAAGCTATGGCAAGATTCTTAAGTACATAGTCATTTTATTTACTCAGAAGTTTCCCTTATTGCTATATTACCTGTTGTTTATATAACTGCAGTATTTTTTAAATGTTTGACACTGGGCTTCACATTTTACAAAAGCAGTAGCTGACAGAAATGTTTATTTTTGTGAAATGTTTCAATTCCTAAAGTCCATTTTAGGATAGTTCCAGGAACAATTATATCTGTGTTTTAAAAAAAAAAAAAGATAGTCATTTTGATAAACAGATGATCCGAATCATCTTACTTTTGCTATGTAAAGCTTTGTAATTGACGGTATCCCTCTTGCAGCTGGGTCTCCATGTCGATGTAAGGGGTACGGGGTTGATAAAATATTTAGCAGAGTCTTCACATTGTTTGCTTTTTCAGTTCAAAAAATTCAAGTAACAGAGATTCCTAAATCCCACTCACTCTAGCAGTATTCCTGAAGTAGTACTTAGGGGGTAGAATTCTCTGGATCTTGGCCATCATGCTTTGGATTTAATTTAACTGGGACCACATGCCTGTCATCCCTCGGATGCAAATTGGAAAGTTCATTTAATTTAGATAAACTCTAATGTCTGCCTGCCTTTTTAACAGGCTGTTGAACCAGTGAGTGCCTTGTTAATGTAGAATGTCCCTCCCTCTTTGTGTGTTACCTCTCTTGAAAATGTCTCAGAGAATGGCATTTTAATTGGCTTATAGAAAGCTGTGAATTTGGTATTGTCAGCGACCAGAATGTCTGGTCTACTGAGTACCTTCCTGCCTATTTTCTCCTCATTGTTTGGCTGAGGCTTGCCTGTGGTGAGAAAAAAAACCACAACCTTCCTTTTCCACACCTTTTATCCAGTCCAGATTAAAAGATGTCTCTTGTCTTAATCCCAGCTTTAGATCTTATACTTGTTTTTAGGTGGAACCACTTGTTTATAATACTGAAATCAACTGCTTATTTTATGTCTTCTCAACTTGAGTTTACTGGAGCTGACCTTAGGGTATCATCAGTTTGGATTTCTAAACAACCTTTTCTTTCCATACTCTGTCCCCTAGCTGATGAGCCCTGGGCCAGATTGTTTGATCTTCAGGTATTTAAAATTTTAGTGATAATATCAATTAATGTAAATTATCCCAAATGCTAATATTTGTGGTGCAAGAAAGTTGTTTTTTTTTTGGGGGGGGGTGTTAAATTCCGGGTTTGGATAAGCTATTTAAGATATCCATTTTCGATGGCTCTAAGTGTATTTGTTTCTAAATAAAGTGTGCAAATATAGATGATGTGCTATAGATGTCTCATGAATTGGAATATTTGTCAAATTTGGAATCTAGTAGCAACTTTGCACCAAATTCAAATAAAACACTCAATTACCATTTGATCTGGGGCTGGGGGCTTGTAGAAGGTTACAGAAAAGTTGATATTAGACAAAGTAGGTGTGAGTCCAAAATAAGCAAAAACTCTTAATTATTGATTGTGAAGAAGATGGACAAGTTTATCGTTACAGGGAATTTGAACCTTTGGAAAGCTAGCAAAAATTTAAAACCAAAAAATTCAATCAGTGATACTTCCAGGGTTACTTGGTGTGTTTGTTAACAAATAAGTTTCATGTTTTTTAAAGAGTTCAATTAAATAAGTTGCAGCAACATCTATAAACAATGCGTTTTTATTTTTTCTTTGCTTGGCTATTTAATAGACAGTCATAAGCCTGCCACACCTCTGCCCGTTTGTGCCATCATTGAAGTCTTTGCCTATGCAGAGCTCAGAATTTCTTTGTTCCTCTCTGGAATGACAATACTGTGTTGAATGTAAAAGTACTCCTTGATGTCTCTGCAACTATGCACTGACCTTTGAATTTCTTAGTGTTGGTGGACCGGTGTCTTTTATAATGCACATTCTTCAGTAGTGTTAGAAGCATCTCTTACTGGGTTTTAACAAGAACTAAGACCTGGCCTGCTGGGATAACTTTGGAGTAATCTAACATAGGAAGTCACAGAGGCTCTGTAAGTTATTTATGGGTTTGTGATCCTCAGGTCTTAGCCTATGGTCAAAGTAGTAACCTGATCTACAGTGGGCTTCTTGATGTTTTGAGGAGTCCCAGCATTGCCCTGACACTTAAGGGAATGCCAGACTCCTTGGCATAGGGTATAAACAAACAAAAACAGTGTAACCAAAATACATTCTTTAATTTGTAACTTCTCAGTTGCTATGACCAGGATAACTCCAAAAGTTGAGATCTGCAGTTTTTTTGAAACAGAATTTGTAACTTCTTACATATCCTATACTTTCAAAGCTAAATTTGGAATCCATCAAACAGAGAAAGATCGACCCTACGCACTCCCAAGTCCATCTTTATTCACTAAAGGTAATGGTGACTTTAGTCAGACTTAAACAACCCGATTATTTTGTGTGAGCAACTTCTGTAAAGCCCTGTTAATGGACAGTGGCTGCTTTTTAGAGAATTCTTATGTACCTGGTGATTCAGCTCAAATTTACTTTAGCAAGACTAGTCTAGGTGCTAATTTGACATTGACTCTTCCATGTACTTCTTTAGAGAATTAACACAATAATGTTGAGATCCTACAGTATAGCATCACCCAGATGGAACTTGGTGTGCTAGGATTATTGTTGTCAATATATGTACCACAGTTATGTCTTTGTGCATATGCCTATGTAACAATGTGTAACCTCAAACTGAAGGGTGGGTTTTTTTTGCTTGTTTAATTATGTGAGCTTAATCAAAGGAAGCACAGTGGTGGGTGAACATGTTGAGTCTTGATTGCTCCATTTCCGATCCAACTCCTTGCCAATGCAACTTGGAAAGCAGTGGAGGGTGGCGCGAGTGCTTGGGCCCCTGTACCCATGTTGGACACCCAATAGAAGCTCCTGACTTCCAGCTTCGGCTTGGCCCAGCCCTGGCTGTTGCAACCATTTGGGGAGTGAACCAGCAATTGAAGAGTCTCTC